GCAGCCATAAACCTAGTTTCAAAAAAAAAAAAAGAAGAACTCCGAACATTTATCATGGGACTCAACACCTAAGCGGCCAGAGGTCCGGGACACCTTGAATTGAAATAAAAAATGCGGAATTCCACGTTTCTTGGGCAAAAATTCATGTCTGAAAAGCTCCTTGTAAAAAAAGGTCATCAAAAAGTGTCAGTTTTCATCATTTAATGAAGCTCCCATAAATTACTTCCTCTTGGGGGATCTCCTTGCTACTTGCTTGGATCATCATGTAACTTTTAGCATCGGGAGGTGACCCCAATCATCTCAGTCGTATCTCCTGAGTATCGCACAACCTTTCCGTCTTTGTAATGGTCTACAGAACAACAAAGTATGCGCTTTGCTGCTTGAAATTCGGAAAATCTGCAGTGCATTCATCGCACGTTTTCCACCACTGCTACTTGAAACTGTCATGGCCACCTACACGAATTTAGTTTCAAATGCATGTTTACCCCCGTATTTGAACTTGGCATATACTTAATATCCAGGAATCAATAAATAAAAAGTACAGAAGCCTTTTTAAGTTAATTAGTCCCTAAGTAACGTTGAAATTAACTTAAACATTCTTGAATGCAAATCGAAACTGTGGGAAGCAAAAATGTTTTACGATAATGTAGCCAGAAAATAGAAGAATTTGCGTCGCTGTTGCAAAATTTGTAGGGAAAAGGCCAGGCCAGTGTTTTAATTTATGGTAGGCCCCTTGTCCATATTTTCAGTAAATATCAGTGATATTATCTAAGGTGCTCTACTAGTGGAGATATAAGGCTATTGACAGGGTGGGTATCTGCGGCAGTCATCAAGTGACCTCAAATAACCTCGGTAGTTTGTAACCATAGCAACGGATTTATGATATAAATATCTGTCGTTATAAAGATTATATATCCATCTTTCAATTGTGGTATTGACCGAAGTAATGTATTGATCACTTGATGCACATTTGTGAAGCAAACTTCGGTGAAAAATACACCACTCACGCAGCTGAAAAGTGAGACGGGAGCCATGCGAGGCAGTGAAATATGAATATGGCTGTATCTCGACAATAACGCAACGGAAAGCTTTAATATTTTACAGTTTAATTAAGGTCACAAAGGTGATTAACTGTGGGCAAAATGAGTGTATTCTGTGAGAACCCCACCTTGCCGCTTTTTGGCTGATTTGCCTGGTGGTTAGAAAAACTTGCACTTAAAACCCACCTAAAACCGAACATCACAGAGTGTTTGGGGGAGGGGGGTAGGCATCCTTCTTTCCCTATTTCAAGGGCATTGTGAATTCTAGACTATCTGTTATCCATGCACCAAGTGCTGAACACTGAGAAACCAAACCTTCTTTATTGAAAAGAGTGTTTTTAATAACCTTATTCTGTTACTATCTTTGAATTGCATCAAAGTGTCAAAACAAGTTTTAATGTTACCAGTCTGTGAATGAATTTTTTTATACTTAGATCAGTGCTGTGAGCTATTTTTCTTAGTTCCAAGTAGTATAATGAACCAGTCACATTTTGCACAATTGTACCACCAGCATTGGCGCTGGCGGTACACATGGTTTTGACCTTTGACCTACTTTTCATCATGAATTGAATTTTGCAAATTTTGCTTCCCTTTTATCTCCAAAACTGGCAGAAATAGGTCCATAATAACTATTGAACTTGAATAGGAAGTCATATACTGGCAATCTAAATGTGACCTTAAAATTGACCTTTGACCTACTTTTTATCATGAATTGAACTTTGCANCCTTTGACCTACTTTACACCATAAACTGAACTTTGCTACTTTTTAATGCTTTTATTTTCAAAACTGGCAGAGATACGCCCATAGTTACTATTGAATTTGAATAGAAAGTCATTAGAGGCAATTTACTGTGACCTTAAAATTGACCTTTGACCTACTTTTCACCACGAACTTAACTTTGCAAATTTTAGTTCCCTTTTATCTCCAAAACTAGCAGAGATAGGTCCATAGTTAGTATTGAACTTGAATAGGAAGTCATATACTGGGAATCTAAATGTGACCTTGAAATTGACCTTTGACTTACTTTTCATCATGAATTGAACTTTGCAAATTTTTGTTCCCTTTTATCTCCAAAACTGGCAGAGATAGGTCCATAGTTACTATTGAAATTGAATAGGAAGTCATATACTGGAAATTTACTGTGACCTTGAAATTGACCTTTGACCTACCTTATGATGAACTGAACTTTGATTGTACCATTTTTAGTTATATATATTTTTTTGCATATTTTGAGAATTGTTGTTGATTGCATTTTTTACAGCTTGTCAAGCACAAGACTGGTGGTGGTGTCCCTTTTTTTTGTGTGTGGGGGTCTATACGAATGCGCTTACTCCAGCTGGTGGTACAATATTCGGAGGCGGTATCGCCTCTCTGATCCTCTAGTCTAGCACAATGAACTGGTCACAACTAGCCATAATCCAGCAGTTTTTTCAAGCACAATGAACCAGTCTCAACTAGCAACACAATCCACTGGTCTCATCAAGCACAATGGATCATTCACAATTGGTCTTGAATCTGGCAGTCTCATCTAGCACAATGAAACAGTCACAACCTATCACACAATCTGGCAGTCTCATCTAGCACAGTGAACCAGTCACAACTAGCAGCACAATCTGGCAGTCTCATCTAGCACAATAAACCAGTTGCAACTAGCAACACAATCTGGCAGTGTCATTTAGCACAATAAACCAGTCATCAACTAGCAACACAATCTGGCAGTCTCATCTAGCACAATGAACCAGTCGCAACTAGCCACACAATCTAGTAATCTCCGTTATCACAATGGATCAGTAACATTAGCTGTAAATCTGGCAGTCTCATCTAGCACAGTGGGCTTGTCACAATTGACCACACAATCCAGCTGTCTCATCTACCACAATGTGGGTCATAACAACTGTGTGATGGGCTAGTCATGTGTAGCACAATCTAGTTGTTTTATCTAGTACAATAATCTACTTAGAGGGGCATTGATTTTACAAAACCTCTTGTCTGAAGTAAGTGTCCCTCTTCAGGTATCTTTTAATTAACGCCAGCAAAGTAATTACGGTCTTATTTATTTATTTATTTATTTAGTTTGAATAGAAGCCCAGCATTTTAAACATATCTTTCCCATGGCCCTCATGTGGTTAGTTAAAAATAAATATTTAATAGGAACAAAGAACAGAATAAGACTACATAATAAAACTATCAAAATTGCAATAAAAAGTATTTAAAACATAATAACCATAACAAAAAATTCGGAGTAATTTCTGTCCCTATCACGTTACGTGTTTTCTATCCTGTTTTTTTCCCCAATTACGTAAAGGCAAAATATTTCACCTAAATTTATGAACTAACATAAGTCTGCGAGAACTAAATATAATAAAGCTGGCATTTTACAGGTGCTAATGTGCTAGCATAGGGCTCGTTCCCAACTATCGCTCTATGTAGTTCAATCCAACTCTGCGGAGACTTTTGCTGAATGCAATCAGATTAACACACAAATGCATCTTCTTGTTTCCAACTTGATCCTATAATCACCTGTTTTTCTGTATCCTGCTCAAAGTTCAGAAGGAGATATGCTAATCTGATGGCATTCTGAGACAGTCTGCGCAGAGTTGGATTTATCTATGTAGAAGAATAGTTTCTTTGGGAATGAGCCCATAGTTACATAAGTTCATATGGTGTCAAACCTTAATTGATAAGTGGATTATTCAGCATTTTCGGACATGTCGTATCTAATTTACTAACTTTTGGCATCTAAAGGGTGAATATTTGAAGAAAATTAGAATCACTGAGGCAGGATGAAAAGTGTCCTTTTTCTCTGTCAGAATAATTTCCCAAGTTTTGTTGGGGCCTGGTGGATACAGGGTTTTGCTAAAGGGGGACTCACCATTTAGTTGTTTTTTTTTATCCAAATGAAAAAATTATGCCTGGTTTGTCTTAATTTGTTTTATCCTTTTTATTTATGGAGGGGGTGATACTGAGGTGGAGGGAGGAGGTACATGGTCTACAGCCCCCACCCCCTTATTGTTAATATTGAAGTATGGGATTCTTTTCATTCTGCTTATATTATGATTATGTTACTATGAAGGTTTCTTCATACCATTGCTTAAATCAGTGTCCTGTCTGAAAAGGGTTTTGTATGAGACACTGAAATATTGAAGTACCAATATTAATGTTTCAGTATTTTCAAAGGATCTTTCTGTGCACAGACACTATGTGGCTGTATGGACATATAGCCAGCACCGCTGTCTGTCATTCACTTAAACATTGTGTCACCATAAACCCCATTAATGAAAAGCCATATTATTCACAAACCAACAGGAATGATTTATTAAAAAATAGATATAGCTCTAATCTCAAAACCAGCCTGATTGGATTATTTTTCTTGGGAGCTAGTTATGAATATTATTGTGAATTTTTCATTTTTCACACATTCAAATTTCCATGGGTTTGAAGTCCTATGCTTGTAACATCTGAATGTCCATTCAAATTAATTTTTTATCGAAACCACTTCATTCAGAAAATCTGATGACTAAAAAATTTCTACAGAAATTTAAATAAAGAAAAATTGAGTTTCGTGGTGATCATGCCTTTTAAGCATTATGTAATATTGCATCAAAATTCACTTAAACTTTTCATCCACTGCCATAGTTAAATCCATGAAAGGAATCTGATTTTATTCTCTAATTTAGAGGGATATATAGAGTACTATTGCTGGTATAGTTTTATGGTGTATCTTCACTCTAATGTAAGTGCAGTCTTCTGGGGATAATTACATTTTTCAAGTGCCATTACATAAAAAAGATGACTTAAGTGTTGATAGTACATCATGATGACAATGATGATGATGAAAAAGTTGAAACATCCTGTGGTTTTTATTTTCAGAGAGAAGTTACAAGCATTTACTATGGAATTTGTTGCTAAAGGAATGGGAACTCTGATCCAAAAGTTGCAGGTAATACCCATTTTTTTGCAATTTTATCATATAAAGGTTTGTGGATAATTGTACCACCAGCGTAGGCGCTGGCGGTACCCATGGTTTTAGTCCCGACCCGTATGTTCCGCCGGCTCCAGCGGCTCCGCCGGCTCCTGCGGCTCCGCCGGCTCCTGCAGCTCCGCCGGCTCCTGCGGCTCCGCCGCCAAGTCACCGTTACCGCTTCTCCTCCTAGACGGTAAGGGCCCCTGTACCCATCTCTTGGATTTAGGTCACCTATAATCTCAACTCGTTCCACATAAAATTTGGGCTTTGTCGGTATTGGGGTCTAGGTGTGGCACTCATTGCAATGCACCCTTGTCTAAAAATGGCAAAATTAAATGCTAATTATCTACCCTACGGAAGGAGTTATGGGAAAAATTTCTATAGACGGCTTTCCAAAAGTCATATGTGTAGATTTCAAATATACCCTCGGATTTGACCTTTGACCTTTACTTCAAGGTCAAATGGGCCAAAATTTTCAAAAAAATGAATTTTTTTACGAAAAAAAAATTATTTGCCCTGTTATTCAGACACCACACAGACTTAACCAATAATATTATTGGAAAGTGTTACCCTTCAGGTCATCTTTCATCTCCGTGAATTTGGGGTCAATCGGTGCATTTTCACGGGAGTAGCGGCCATAAGATACCGAAACTGAAAACTGTCTCTAATTCGGGAACCGTTAATGCTAGAGACCCATTCTTTTTTGCATTTTGTAGAGCATGTAAAGCCCAACACTGGAGGTGGTCTCCGTTTTTTTGTATTCCATACGGTTTTCGAGTTACGCTGTATCAAAAAGTACATATTGGTGGTGAAAGCAAAATGTGCAGTACGGTAATGGATAATAAATTTTGAACTCCGGAAAAATAAAACATAAGGCTTGGCAAAGCAGGCAACTTGTGGTCAAAAATGACATTATTTCATCAAATTTGAACATCTGGAACTTCAGAGCACCTCCCATTTCAAGAATTTTGACCAAAATGACCTTTTCTTTATTTTAATTAATTTTTTCTGTAGGAAATTTATGGCACATTATGGTAACTCCAAAATTAAAACATTTAGTCCCTTATATCTCCAAAACTGGCAGAGATAGGTCCATAGTTACTATTGAAGTTGAATAGGAAGTCATATACTGGCAATTTTACTGTGACCTTGAAATTGACCTTTGACCTACTTTTCACCATGAACTGAACTTTGCATATTTTTCTTCCCTTTTATCTACAAAACTGGCAGAGATAGGTCCATAGTTACTATTGAACTTGAATAGGAAGTCAGAGATAGGTCCATAGTTTCTATTGAACTTGCACGGAAAGTCATATACAGGCAATCTAAGTGTGACCTTGAAATTTACCTTTGACCTACTTTTTATCATGAATTGAACTTTGCAAATTTTGGTTCCCTTTTATCTCCAAAACTGGCAGAGATATGTCCATAGTTTCTATTGAACTTGCTTGGAAAGTCATATACTGGCAATCTAAATGTGACTTTGAAATTGACCTTTGACCTACTTTTCACTATGAACTGAACTTTGCAAATTTCTTTCTCTTTTAACTCCAAACCTGGCAGAGATAGGTCTATAGTTACCATTAAAGTTGAATAGGAAGTCATATACTGGCAATTTACTGTGACCTTGAAATTGACATTTGACCTACCTTATGATGAACTTAACTTTGATTGTACCATTTTAAGTTATATATATTTTTTGCATATTTTGAAAATTCTTGTTGATTGCATTTTTACAGCTTGTCAAGCACAAGACTGGTGGCTGTGTCCCTTATTTTGTGTATGTGGGGGTCTATACGAATGCGCTTGCTCCAGCTGGTGGTACAATATTCGGAGGCGGTATCGCCTCTCTGATCCTCTAGTTTTTTATTGAAACCACTTCATTCAGAAAATCTGATGACTAAAAAATTTCTACAGAAATTTAAATAATGAAAAATTGAGTTTCATGGTGATCATGCCTTTTAAGCATTATGTAATATTGCATCAAAATTCACTTAAACTTTTCATCCACTGCCATAGTTAAATCCATGAAAGGAATTTGATTTTATTCTCAAATTTAGAGGGATATATAGAGGACTATTGCTGGTATAGTTTTATGGTGTATCTTCACTCTAATGTAAGTGCAGTCTTCTGGGGATAATTACATTTTTCAAGTGCCATTACATAAAAAAGATGACTTAAGTGTTGATAGTACATCATGATGACAATGATGATGATGAAAAAGTTGAAACATCCTGTGGTTTTTATTTTCAGAGAGAAGTTACAAGCATTTACTATGGAATTTGTTGCTAAAGGAATGGGAACTCTGATCCAAAAGTTGCAGGTAATACCCATTTTTTTGCAATTTTATCATATAAAGGTTTGTGGATAATTTCCATCTAAAACCGTTGTGTATACCCGATTTAGGTAATTCTTCTATTATGTACAGACTTATTATGTCTTTACATGAATCATAGCCTCCATCTGGCATTGCCGTTGTCAATGCCGCCATGCAGTTTTAGAGCTGTGATTGATAAAAGGAAATTTATTAAACCCATTGTCTTTTTACTTATAGAGCTGATGACTATTCATAAAATACAGGACGAGTGTGAAAATCAGCTGATCAGACCATTTGTAGAAGTTATGCTTTTTTTGCTGTTTTAAATGGATTTGTTATACAGATAGTACATTTAGTAGAAAAGTGACTGACCTATTGTCTTCGAATCTACAGGAGTGATAAATATTACTAAAATACAGGTAGATTTTGAAAACCAGATCAGATTATTTTTCTTGAAGTTATATGTGTGTGTGAAATGCTGATTTTTCTCATCATGGCGATTTCAGAGTGTCTGAATGCCTTTGCTATTCACATTCCTGAAATCCATGATATTCATATCATATCATATATCATTATAAAAATGGTAGTGGTTATGCTGTTAAGCTTCATGTAATGTTGCATCAAAATTGACAAAGACCCTATTTTGGGCACTGCCACCATGGTGACCATTGAAGGAAAATCATCTCGGTTATTATTTGCAAACTTACAGAAATGATTCATAGGACTAAATTGCAGCTTCAACTGGAAGAACAGTTATGGTGAAATGTTCATTTACTACTTATTGGCAACTTGTTGGACCTAGAACTCACCTGGCATAATGCAGTATCATGAGAGTTACCTAGTCTAAAGTACTATATTTTGGGCACTGTCACCAGAAAAAACATTGGGGAGGGGGGGGGAAGGGAGGAAAGGAAAATTACATTAAGTACTTATGCATAGGTAAAAATAAAAATAATTTTTTTAAGGTGAGTAAAAGTAAAGATAACGACTTACCGAACAGCTTGAGTAAACACTTGGATATTGAATTCCTGTCTGACTTTTAATTATTAGTTTTCATGCTTTTCTTGCTGGTGGTTGGCTCCCATATGTATGTGTATAAGCTGTGATTGGTGACGTGATGAATACTGAGGTCACAAGCTAATTGCACCGCGTATTGATTGGTCTGGATGATGCAATAAGTGCCATAGGATCTGAAAGGCTGTTGGAAAGGTGCTGATGGTGACTCCCTACTTATTTGTTCGGGTCTTAAAGGGGATTATGTCTAACAGCAGCAATCTTGTGTCAAAGTTAGAGATGGGCTACTGTCTATTTACTGAATGACGTTTGAAAACGAACCTATACCTAACTAAATATCCAGCAAACAATCAGAACTGTTTAATCAATTGGAAAAAATTCCATTTAAAACCAATTTGCAAAATAGCATCCCATAAGCAATTTACACCACCATATTGTTAATTTTTTTTATTTAATTGTGGCATTTGAAATGAACCTGTTTATAATTAACTATCCAGTGAACAATCACAACTTTGAAACTTTGAAAACAACTGTTGAATCAGATGGACTCAGGATAAATATCAACACATTAATAAATTTATTTTGAAAACACTTTGCAAAATAGCATCCCATAAGGGATTAGCACCACAATAGTGTTTACTTTATATTGACTGATGGCATTTTTATAGAAAATGAGTGTATTTCTCACTAAAGTCCCCACAAATGTAACAGCTGATTACCTACTCAACAGTAATATTAAAGTTATATATCAGAAAATCTAATACTTGCTATACCAGTGTTCCTGAAAAACCGTCCAACAGCCGGACATGTCCATCATAAATTGAAAATGCCCGACGTGAAACATCAGCATGTCAGTCACAATGTCCGTACTATCAAATAGCAGAGCATCTAAAATACTAAGTCCTGGCCCAGTTGCCAATGCTTTTTGCCACTGCACGGATTGCTCCAGCGCGAAAAAGTAGAATATGCATTGATACTAGTCTTGCCCTTACAAGCATTTTCTAGCCTCCTTGTGAAATTCTTGGATTAAGCACAACTTTTTTATTAATTTTTAAATTTACCTTCAAAAGCAAATTTATAGTATACTGCAACTTACTTCATTGTTTTGAACTAAAATAGAATATCTACGCTTGGACTCTGAATCAGATTCTCCCAAGCAACTTAATCCTGTGGTAAAAAATGACACCGCTATGTATTCCCCATAACTACACATTACTACACTTTTGGCTTACCACTGCTGAACTGGTTCAGGCCAGCTTAGAAGCCATTGTTATGAACCGTCTAAAATGACTTTAATTTAATTAATAACTGTACTGAATTTCAGTATATCAATTTCCATTAACGAATTAACTAATCTATGGGCTCCGACATGACTCCAGATTCGAATCACTCTTTCACTTTACGTGCACAGAGAAGCATAACCGAACAACCTCACATCTTCAGTCTAAGATCAAAAGTGTCTTTATTATGGACAAGCTTCAAGTTATATACAGATTATCTACAGGGAATCTATGTGTACATGTGGCTGCTACTTATTTATATACTTATTGTTGTGCAATATTAACAGGTGATATGCATCTGCCTAAGGACTAGGCCTACCTATGGGCCTCTACCGAAAATAATATTTATGTATGCAGGACAGACGCAAATTATATAATAACATGTTGATTAACTATGAATACACAATGAGGAATTAGTGCAGGATTCAATACGATGCAGTTGAGGGGTGAGCTCATGTCGACAGTGCAGACACAGTGGCGATGATCTCTGTCTCCCCCAGTGCAGAGCAGGCACTTGGAGTTGACATAACTTACATCTATAACAAAGCATGTATAACAAAGCAGTTATCTTTTTGGTTTCTGCTCATCTGCCATTAAGAACAGACTTGGTGATAAAAATGATGAAACTTTTTATTTTTTAAAAAAGAAAATAGTGGATTTTATAAGAAAATGTGAGTGATCTTAATAGTTTTTTCTCAATCCAACATGAATGATAAACCATTGTGTTGTTGTGTGTAATTTCATTATATTTGATTTTTTCAATTGGCAATTTACAGGTGTATGTGATTAAAGTTTCATTATTTTAAATTTTCAAATAGTTATAGTGATTAAAATTTAAGGTTATTAATGATAATAATAATTATATAAGTAAAGCAATGTCTGAGCACCATTACATGTCTTTTTTTTATAAAGAGACAAGGATTTTAAAAACAAAAAATTATTTATAAAATAGTAGATATGCATTCTGTTTGATCAATGATTGGCCTCACTGTTGAAAAGTCAGGCTCTTTTATGTCATCTTTGGTTAATTGTTTTGAAACCTGTCCAAGAACAATGGGGAAGTACATGATACGTAAGTAAGCACATAGAAGTGTATGCTCACGGAGATTGTGCGAATCCTTATTGCCGAGTTTTTTTGCAGCAGAGTATCCTAGCACAGGGCTTAGAAGTCAGGTAACGGTTAGTCAAGTAAATGTTGGAGATTTGATTTTTTTCATTCTTTTTTTTTCTCTGAAAAGAGAGACATAAGTAGAAGCTTGACACTTTTTTCTGTAGGTGTGTGTTGTCAGGCACGATCTCTGTGCATGTGCTAATATACAGAATAGTGTAAATAGGATGTTATGATCCCTTACATTTTGGATTTGCCAAATGTAACAGGCAGCAGGAAATAGTTCATCTGGTATATAGACCGGGTAGTTAAACCAATGCAGCTGGTATTTCAAGTCATTCTGACAAGAGTAGTGGAACTGATTTGAGCATCCTTAGACTGACATACAAAATTACTTTAGTAGACTGGTGGTCACTTGAGTCTGTAGCAGGAATGAATTTGAACAGATTTGAGTTTTCTACAGAGTGGAGGAAGGTTTTTGAAGCAGCTTCCTGTGTCGTTGTTCACCAGAGAAGTTGCCAGTGTCACAAGAGAATGGTAAGTGGCAGAGAAGAGGGCACGATGGATCCTTAATTCATTTGTCAGTTGTACCCTGCATGTTGGCGGGATTGTGAGAAATCTTTTGTTAAGTTTATCATGCAATTTATTAAATTTTTGTATATTTTTTGCAGTGTGTAAGTTTGTTATATAAATATAGTTATATGGTTAAAATGTTATCCAAAGACTATAAACATTACCAGCCAAAATCGGGTTAAAAGATTACTTAAAAAAAAAAAAAAACCGCTTCTAGGTACTTCAGTAGATACCCATGGTACCCTAGCACAATGACAGCGCCACCAGTTATCCATTATCTTAAGCATATGCCAGATAGGATGGATTGATACATAAATACATTTACTTTTTCGGCTCTTGTGATCTTATTTTATTGAATATATTATTTAATCATTGTAAAAGAAAGTCAATTTTTTTTTTTTTTTTCAAAATCTGATTAATTTGGGCACTTAGTTGTCTTGCATACCGTTTCTCTAAAGGTGAATTTCATAAGCCTTTAGATTGACGTTTGCACACAAGTGGTTTGCATTTTTCTCACCATTCTATTTCTTCTTATTTACACAATTAAAAAAATAGCATTCTTCAACTCACACAAGCAATTGTTATGATTAAGATATCCTGTGACTATGACTAGCTCAAGTTTCAAAAAATAGCCTGATAGGATTAGTTTTTCTTTAAGATAGGAACAATTTTTGAGAAGATTCGATATTTTAACAAATTATTTTTTGGTGATATTTTAAATTTCCACATGGGCATAAAGCCCAGTGCTGGCTATACATATCTGAATATCCACAATGATTTTCAGTGCAGTACATAATTCAAATTAGGTGATAACTGTGCAGTAAAGCATTATCTAAAATTTTACCAGAATTGACCTTTTTAGTTGTTGTTATTGTCATTAAATTGGTTCATCTCCTTTATATGGTTTTTTCATGTTACTGATTCAGGTTTGACATTTATATATCTGTCCATATGGCCTCTCTAATGTGTTAATTACTATTATTTAATCAAAGGTCAAAGTGTCATGCCTCAAATATAGGTAGAAAACATATCTAGTTTGTTTTGAAGTGATTGACTGTTTTCTTGCCATATTGCACAGGAGACTTTTAGTTTTCGTTAAGTTTCCAACAAGAGAATGAAAGGACTGAAAAAGGGGTGTTTTCAGTTTTTTGTTTTGTTTTAACTCTCAGTCTGCAAAGATATAAACTTAGGCCAGGACAAGTACATGTTTCTGTCCATGGCTTTGCTGTAGCTTCAGCCATCACAAGTGGCATTCACTAATTGATAACTGAACACTGTATTATGAATCATGTCAGGGGAATAAAGAAGACTGCTTTTAAAATCACCTGATTTTATTTCATTTTGAAATAAATGGTCTAAGTTACCTAGACTGCTAGAAGTAAGTTGCCTATCTCTTCAACAATATTCCGTTGCCATTGGCAATAAGGCACAGTGTGGCACCTGTCATAATTTGGATCATTTATCAGTATTCATCAGGTGCAGAGACTTTTAAGTGGAAATCCATTAGGCATGCATCCTATGTGGAAAAATCTTTTTTTTTTTCAATCTTTTTCCTTTTTAAGTTTCAAGGAGTTGTTCCCCTGTAACTCATTGAGTACAACACCATCATAGCCACATTGAAATGAAATCGAAATAAAAACTTAGTTTGTAATGATGTTTAATTCAAAGGTTCAACTTTCTTTCCAGTTTGAGCTGTTTTCTGCCCAGAAGCAGAATGGAGATGAGTCTTACTTCTTGTGGGTGATCAAGAGGTTTGTGAAACTTGCTGTGCTGGAGCAAGTCAGCTTTGAAAGTGTGAAGTAAGTTCAAATGTGAATGAAATCTGTTATTGAACTAAACAAATTTAGTCTCATTGACAACACTGCCTTTTATAAATGGTATCGACGTTATGCGTACAATTTCAGAAGGACAGTAAATGCAGTTTTAATGCAATTATAAATGTGTAATTTCGAAGATAGTGATTGTTACTTTATCAAGATAGTAAATGTTACTTCATCAGATAAAATGCTCTGATATTCTTATAAAGATTTTAAAAAAAAGTGCTTTCCTTATTTCAGAACCGTGTTAGCCGTACCCACCTTCAGTCTTGTGACATTTCTAGCAGTGGCTTCTTGTGAGCAGCTTATGCTTCTTCAAAGGAAGAACGCTGACGCATCCCCTCATGAGAAAATGTGAGTTTTCTAAACAAGCCAAGAAACTAACATATAGTGGTAGCCATCTAGGATTTCAGGCTCTAACATTTTAATAATTTTAAAAGTTGTGATCTTTAGCAGTCACAGAAAGCAGAGATTTCAGGCTATAATGATACATCAAATCGCTTTCTATTTTCCAATTCCTACGCTACGAAACAAAATTACAGAAAATATTTGTTAAAATTTAGCTAAATTGACTGCCATTTTGGAAAATTTTGATGGTCATTAACTACAGAAAAATTCTTAGAATACACATTTGAAATAACTTGAAATCTATTAAGTAAATATAAGTGAAATATCTAAAAGGTTTTTTTTAAGTTTTTTTTTTATTTCTTGTCTTTCTTTACTTACACCTGAAGCTTTTAATATGTTATCTACATCATCACATTTCTTCTGCCTTCTCTTTATATGCTATCTGCATCTTTACAATTTTTTCTGCCCTCTTCTATTTTCATTTTATTTACAGCACCACCATTTTTGATTTCATGTTTTTCATAGACAGTGTTTGACAATGACCATCTGTGACTTCATAATTATTTATCAGGGATGTGATTTTTCAGGTTTTTTCCTGATTTCATTTTTTTTTTTTTTACTTCATTTTTAACTAAGTTTTTAAAACTTTTCAAGGATTATTGCACAACATTGTCAATTATCAGCCCCCACCCCTCACAAATCACATCCCTGATGTATCTTTCTCTCCTCATTTCTTATAGACTGAAGCTGGCTGTGGCTGCCCTCCATGACATGTTGTGGACAGTGGAGTACTTTATGACTGAGAAGAAGAGAGCCCTTAAACAGCAGGACAAGGAGTATCTTCTCAATTTGCATGGTGAGTGCAAGACTTATTTGGAACAATTTATCCATGTGCCATAGCAAAATATCAGGCCTGTTGCAAACTCTTCTTGCAAATGTACAAAAATATCAGCAAAAATAATAGCAGCAACATAAATCTTCTTGTTAACTCCTTGTCAGAAACTTTTAGTTTGCAGCAAATTTCCTGTAAATTTGCTGCAAACTTTTCATTTTACTAAGGGCTGTCATGATTGGTGGAAGGAAGTAAATTTAACCAAAAGGAAGAAAAGCAATGGTGCTCTGTGCATTCCAAGATCAAAACCAATGAGCAAGTTTCCCCTGCTTTCACCCAAGCTTTTCCATCAGTATTTTTTTTTCTCCAAAACCTGACAAATTTTCTCTCTTTATCAGCCGAATTGTCCAGCATGGAGGACATTAGACAGATGTTCCTTCTCCTGATCCGCTTGTATCAGCCGCATCTTCAGAACCTGGATTACCTGAAGAAACTGATCATTACCAACCACAGCTACATCCTCATGCTGCAGAAGGCCACGCCTACAGGGAACTTTGACATGCTGCACCACATTAAACAGTAAGTTAGTGATATAACTTTAGTAACAGAGATAGCTGAAGAATTATTTGAGCATAATGTACACCTTTTGGAGATTTTTAGGGTGAATACAGTAAAATGGTGGTTTTATACACAGATACTTTGTCTGTACATATTCTGATCATGTTCAATATGTCTGCCGACAGCACTGTCCGACACCTGTCTTGTTCACTTCATAAGTGCTGAGTCGTAATTTTTCCTCATTTCCAAATCACCAAGTTGCTCTCTATGGGAAAAAAAAAACAAGGCTCCAACCAAAAATCAGTGTCAACAGGTTTTCTTTACTGGAGCCACTGATTTCTTTCTTTTCACCCTACATGTGCCAGACAGTATTTTTGTCTTACTTCAGATTTGTTTTGTTAATTTTCTGAATATTTGCCAGTTTTGCTGTCTCGTTTAAGAACATAATACATGTATATGTGATGCTGTAGATTTGCCACCGAGGAAGTGATGCAGCATTACGGACGCCTTTTGGAGACTTTCACTGAGAACGTTCCTGCAGTGAATGAGTGTATCTTCACCATGATGCACCACATTGCTGGACCCTGCGAGAAACCGGAATCTCTACTTCAGATAAACATTTTAAAGACCTTCAGTGAGATCTCGCATCATCAGTATCCTCTCAATGAGGTAAGTTGCCCCACCAGCAAGACTTATTAATTTTTTTTTCATTGAATGATATTTTAACGAATATTTTTTGTGACAATATTTTTGATTTTTTTTTTCAATTTTGTAGCAATCTTTATTATAATTATTTAGCAAATGAATTTTTGCAAGCATGACGTGAAAAAAGGTTAACTTTTGAATAACTGTCTATATTATTATTATTATTATTATTATTATTATTATTATTATTATTATTATAGGATGCCAGTGACTTGGTGGAGTACATTCTGAAGATATTTGAGCGTCTTGCCGAGAGAGACCCCTATCATTGTGCCCAGCAACTTCTGAAAATGAAGGAAGATGAGCCAGGTTCTCCAGAGTCTGAGAGGTAGGCTCAACCACAGTCTTGGGCCTTATTCACAATCAGTTGATTCACTATCACTTTTTCAGTGCTAGGTCACTTTTGTTTGCAAAATCTTCTCTTATTTGTCTCTTTCTCTTGTTTGTTTTGTTGTAATGCATTAACATGATTTTGGTAATTAACCTTTGCGTCTCTGATCCTCCTGTTTTTTTTCTTCTTTTTTTTTTATTTTAGTGATCAGACGGAATCCCTGGACAGTCACTGGTCAGATGAAGACGTGGACATCCTGTTTATGACCTATACAGAGCATGAAAGTGACCCGAACTTGGTCGACAAGATCGTGGAAGCGCTGGAGGACCATGGGATATCTAAGACAAGATGCGAGGTGTGTTGAGACCCCCCACCCCCACCCCATCTGAGTGTTTTTTNCCCCCACCCCATCTGAGTGTTTTTTTTTTTTGTTTTTTTTTAATATAAAAAAAAAAATGTTGAGATTCAAGAGGACCTTAGGTGACTCACAATGATGAGCAATGGTAAATTGTAGAAATTGTCTTATATTAACATTTTTTTTTATGTACCCACGAAGTGAGGGGCATTATAGCATTTCTGCTCTATCTGCTCTATTTCTGCTCTGTTTATGCACTATGTCTGTTCTACACTATAACCTTTATCACACTCTGATGTGTATGCAGAAAAAAAAGAGTTTGTGTGATTTGGCATGGATATGTGAGGTGTGTCAAAAAAAATAGCCAATTATTTCCAATATGATCACCCAGTATGGCTGCAACTATAATTAAAATTGAAAATCTTACACGCACTTCATTCCTCAACCCCCCTATCTCTAAAACTAAAAGAGATACACAGATAGTTACTTCTGAACTTGGATAAGAAATCATAAATGGCAAATATAAATATGACATTGATCTACTTTTCACAGTAAAAAATTTTTAAAGCATGTACGCACATCTTAGAAATCTTTGTTTCTCCCTTACTTAAATACAAAAAGAGAAAAGTTCTTGCTATTTGGTATCGTTATCTAGATATGCCAGGAAAGAAGCCTATTGTTTCGTGGCTTGTTTCACCAACCAACACTGCAGCCATATTTTAGATGTTTGCCATGTTTTACCTTTTTAATACCAGGCCTTATAAAGTAAATTGTCCTTTTTGACTTGAAGCCACAGGTAAGTGATTTCGATCACCCAATTGATGACTTGAATTGCAAATTCATTATCTGACTGGGCATTGTTTTAAAATTTTGAACTGCTAGTCCCCTTGCCTGCCTGCCCGTTTGGTACAAACTGTCTGTGCCAGAGATTATAATTATTGGATGTGCATTAAACCCATTTTAAAACACAGTAAGAATAGTACATGATAGAAATACATAACTTTAATTCTTTTTTTTGGATTTTGCTTATCTTTCAATGACAACAGAGGTAATGTTTAATATGCAAGAGTGCATGGTACTAAAAAAAAAAAGGCATTGAAAAGTAAACTCTGGACTTCTTTACATTTTCCACATCGCTCATGCATTGAGTGAGCATGGCAACTGAAATCATTCACCCCCTCTAATATTATCAAAAAAGCCTGAGCTACTTTACTGGTCCTCGCATTGAAAAAAGTTTGCCAAAAAAAAAAAAAAAAATTATGCGCAGTTAATAATGTTGTTATTTGTGCAATCAGACCATGAAATTGCAGTTTAAGTCACATATTTCACAATCAAAGCAATCAAAATCACTAATTTGCAGCTTCAAGTCACAAACGACAACTGCCCTTAATGAGGCTAAGATTAAGAAGGAGGAGGAAATTTCAGGTGAACTGTTTTGAAAATTTTGTGATAAGGGATATATCTCGGAAGAAGCCTGGAGCTGACTATGCCAACTAATATGGCAGCCATGTTAAAAATCTTAATTGCATGTTAACTTAGGTACCAAAACAGGAAATTTGATTTTTTTTTTTTTTTTTGGCTATGACAGGTGGTAAGATCATAGAGAAGAAGCCTGTTGTGGAGCTCATGTTATGATGCAAATCATGGGGGCAGTAGTGTCCTATAGAAGCATTTGAAGTTTTTACAGACATACTGTGTCTTAAACCAGTTTTAAAGAAGACCATTTAAAGTGCCTCAACATAATGATTTTCCCCCACTTTTTAGCAATACACTTCATCCAACCATTGAAATGGGAACATCTTGTTCATCATCTTTAGCCAGTATTTTCCATTTTACAGAGATTTGACACATAAATGGAATAGTGGAAAGTAGTTTTATCTGTCTGGAAAGGCTTCTAAAATTTCCCCAATCTTATGGACTCTTTTGCTTCATCACCTCCATCCTGGCTTTGGTGTGACAGACATGCTCCAGTAGCATCATCTTTTTAGATTCCCAGCCTCTTATCTTCTTAGCTCACTTATGTAGTGAGGGTCAAGTCCTCTGATTACAATACTTTGAGATTTAATGTTCAACTTTGAGATGAATACTTTGTTATTATTATTTTTTTGATTTATTATTATTATTTTTTTTCTTTTTTGAAAAAATATTCTTTTTATATGTATTAGGCAAAGCACAATTAAATATTGTTGTTAAGTTATCAATCTGCTAGAGGCTTGCTTTTTTTCTTAATTAATTAATGTTTTTTGAGAAACACATCACAAAAATTGACAAAATAAGCTCTGTGGATCACTAAGACAGGACTGCTTAGCAACAGAGGATGGGGGTCTAACTCCAGGGGACGTACAGGCTTCCTCAGGCCCCTGGGTCCTGCATTTCACAACCAGCAAAGGTTTGGCAGCTTTTTTGTTCATATATTGCACATGAACAGCCCAGGTAAGTTTGTTCATGGTGTCTTATGTGTACAGATAACTTGGCATGTGAACTATATTTACATTGATGTTTGTTTTGAAAAAAAAAAAGAAAGGTACGCTAAGTTGTTGTTCAATAGAAATTTGATGGATTTTTATATACAGACACTTTAAGTGTCTGTATATGTTCTGTTTTTTTTTCGTCTGTGTCTTTCAAGTATGTGCAGACGCTGTAGCTGTGACTGTTGCAGTCTGACACATTTGTTTTACACCATATCTGTCAAACTATTTTTTCTGTTTTATTTAAGATTTGTTTGGCAAAGTAGCAGGCGGAGTTTGAATGTGAATGATTTAATTATGTTTTGCCTGTATTTTTGCAATGTTCACAATATCGGTGTTATGTTAACTTTTGTGTTCAGTTCATAACATCCTAAAACATGGAAGATGTAAAATTATTTGATGGTTGGTCAGAAAACAAAAAAACTGTCAACAAGTAAACAATGTTAACTTCTTTTAGACAGGCTTTTCCTGTTGCAGGATTGAAAATTTCTCATTAAATTAGAAAAAGATAACTCTTGTACTTGAGTGTATTTCAATTCTACTTTTTTAAATATAAGTTTGCAGTCTGTACATATGCCATCCTTGATGTCTATTTAGAAAAGCAATTTTAAAGGCGACTGTTAAATTCAGAAACGTCATGTTGTAGTATGCAAAGGGATGCTTTTTAAGTAGACAACTCTTTTCAGGAGTTTTTAAGGAAATAAAGATTGGATACCTAGCACTTTCTTTCTTATTTAATTATTATTATTCTATTTGCTATGTTGATTATATGTATTTTTACATAATTTTATTTTAATTTTTTTTACCTAAAATCGTGCGCTGTGAGTGTCTATTTATTAGTGTTTTACTTGAGACTTGCTTTTTTCAAACATACTTGTCAACTCTGCCAGTCTAATCGAGAGTTCCAGTTTAGTGACATCTTTTGTCCTGATTGTTTTCCACACACGTAAAAGGTTTCTCTGTATTTAAGTTACTGTTTCACATTATTCTGTAAATGGGCCAGTTTCATGGTATAACATGTAGAGCGAGAATAGAGTTTTAAGACATTAGTTATGAATGGCAGTTTTGAATACATCAGACCGTGACAATTTCTTCATATGATCCAAATAGCTTGATTTCTTTTTCTCTTTTTAATTTTTATATTTTTCATTTTTATTGTTTTATTATTAATTAATTTATTAATTTATTTGTTTATTTATTTATTTATTTATTTTTGTCACACGAGGCAATCTTCTTCTCTGGCATTTTCTAGTTTTGACAAGTATGAATGTCTTGCCAAAATTGGCCAAAAGGGTATTTAAGTCCACTAGTATCTTCTAGTCCGTATTTAGGCTGTAGTATAGAGTAATTATAGATATATTTGCACAACTTATGTTACCAAAATATTTTTCCAAATTTTATTTGAAGTTTTTTTATTCTTTTTTTGTCTTTTGTCACTAAATTGACCAAAAATTCAAATATCAATTTTATTTGAAATTCACATGCTGAGTACACTGATAGAAAAGCTGCCACCCAACATATATATGTTTTATAGAGCTAGGTCCAAAAATAATAATTGGTCTTCTCAAATTTTGAAAAGATTATATTACAGAAGAAGTGCCCCTGTTTGTTATGGATGGAATATCCAAAGCACTCACTGTTGGTTAGTTTTTATCTTTTTTTACTCCCTCTCTTTCTAGTGTCCACCTACAGATTGCCTAGCCCACTACTTGGAATTATGCTTGGAACAATAAGCCTTTTTGTGGGATTTTCACAATATTTTTTGTCATTATAGGTTACAAATCAGTTGACACACCTTGGACTTCTGGCGGACCAGTCCATGAATTTGATTGACGTCATTGGAGGTGGCAGTTCTGTGGTATGTGCATATCATAAAAAGTGTTTTTGTTTGTTTGTTTTTACTATAAAGTTTAGGTTCATGTTGTCAAAGAATTGGGGGAGGGGGGCTACAACACTCTGTTTACTCTGTAGGAATCCTGCAGGACTCTACAGATTGGTGGATCAAATATGGTGACTCTTTAAAAGGCTGGCGGCTTAATTCCAGATTAGACACTGAATAGATTCCTCTCAAGGATTAGGCAAGAAGCATTCAAGTGGGTTGGCCATATTTGATCGGCGGATCTGTTAGTCTATTGCTCTGAATGCGCTCTATGGACTCTATAGCAATTTTTTCGTCCACTGATGATGCATTTTTAGTACAAAATTCAGCTGCCGGCTTAAATCATTGTGTAAATTAGAATACAAAAATGGTTATAATTAGAAGGAAGGGAACAAATATTGAATATATGCCACATTTTTTGAAAAAAAAATATAGGAAACTACAGACAGTGGTATATCCGCTGATGATGCATCTTTAGTACAAGATACAGCTGCCATCTTAATTCATTGTGTAAATTAGAATACAAAAATGGTTATAATTAGAAGGAAGGAAAAAAAGATATTGAATAAATGCCACATTTTTTGGGAAAAAAAATTTTTTTTTTTCCACAAAAATGTGGCATTATATTATATATATAAGAAACTACAGACAGTGGTATATCCACTGATGATGCATCTGTGGTACAAGATACAACCGCCATCTTGAATCATTGTGTAAATTAGAATACAAAAGTGGTTATAATTAGAAGGGGGAAAAGGATATCGAATAAATGCCACCTTTTTTGAACAAAAAAATATAGGAAACAACAGACAGTGAAATATCCACTGATGATGCATCTCTGGTACAAGATACAGCTGCCATCTTGAATCGTTGTGTAAAGAAACTGGAAGGGAAGGGCCACCAGGTACATCTGGCCTGGCTTCAGAGGGTGCTGCTGGAAGTCTGCTATATAAAACTCGGTAGGTTTCCAGCACTTACATTGATCCGTTCATACAAAGTGATGATTTGGACTAAAGCGCTAATGAAGTGGGATTTACACTTTTAAGTTTTCAATTTCACAACTTCTGACTAGTGTTAAAGAGCTGCCACAATTCTGTTAATAAGTGAGAAAATCTGCAACCCCTTGTCCTCAACTTTTGCCTGTTTTACGTAACTAAAATTAGCAATCTCTTCCTCCAACAGGTGGAAAGAAAATTTATGGAAAGGTAGAAGAACCAATCCTGTATTTTTATGTTGGTAAGTACATGATTCTAAAAAAATTATTTATTTATTTATTTATTTATTTATTTATTTATTTATTTATTGTGCAAACGGCTCCAAAGTGTGCATTTTGCAAGATTGGCGGACCAGTGGCGGAACTCACCAAGGCAAATGAGGCAGTGTTTGAGGTGCAAATCAGGCAAATGTGGCAGTGGTTTAAGTATGCATTGGGCAGATGTGGTTTAGAAGTGAATGGGGCAGATGTGGCATTGGTTTAGAAGTAAATAGGGCAGATGTGGTTGTGTAGCTCATGTGGCATATTTTGCAAAGCAGCAGATGTGAATGCGTGTGAGATATTAAAAGAGTAGTATTTAGTTTATGTGACCATTTGAATTTAAAGTAGACATTGAGGAGAATGGGCATACTAATTTTGAATAAAGGAAATGCAATATTTTTCTGATTTCATCTTCCAAAATAATATTCATGCATTTTAACTGGGAAGGCTGGGAATATTGCTTTCATGAAGAAATTGTACATTACAGCACAAGACAAGTCCGTTCCTGTGATTCCCTTCAGCGGTGCACAGGAAGCCATTTTACAGGATAAAGCCTTTCGCTGCCTACTGCTAAGCCTAGGGATTTATTTGCCGGAGGAAGGATGGCAACTGTACCCGAGAATTCCACACTTTTGGAATGCTGAAAACCTTTTCTCAAAGGCAAAAAGTCTAGGGACAATTCCAAAAGGTAAGCTAGATGGAAGCGTGTGATGAAAAAGAAATGCAGGTTTTATATATATATATATATATATATATATATATATATATATATATATATATATATATATATATATATCAAGAACAAAATTATGTTGCTGCCTGCAACATATCCTCTTAAGCACTGATATTAAAACAGCCATAATGATTTTCATTTTCTACCTTTGCGTCCTTAAAATAGGAAAGGTTTAAACTTAAATGCACTTTCTGATTGTGAAATGAATTTAGCAGTTTCCATTCATAAACAACTCAATTCTACCCAGTCCAAACAGTGACATATAGAAATTTTAGTGCAGATGTCATGAATTGATTTTAATTTAATCACTTTTCACAGCTCACACAGTGGAATGTAGAAGTTTCTTTAAGTGCAGATGTCTTGAATTCATTTAATTATTTTTCACAGAAATTTTGTTTAGTGCAGTTGTAATTCATCTTATCACCTTTGACTTCAGGTATCCTGAAATATAGAAATTTCATTTAGTGCAGATGTCATAAGTTCATTTAAACAGTTTTAACTTCAGGTTTCCTGAAATATAGAAATTTCATTTAGTGCAGATGTCATGAATTCATTTAATCTCCTTTAACTTCAGGTATCCTGAAATATAAAAATTTCATTTAGTGCAGATGTCATAAATTCATTTAATTGTACCACCAGCGTTAGCGCTGGCGGTACACATGGTTTCGGTCCCGTCCGGATCGTTCCGCCGGCTCCGCCGGCTCCGTTGGCTCCGCCGGCTCCGCCGGACGGCTACCGTTACCGCTTCTCCTCCTAGACGGTAAGGGCCCCCGTACCCATCTCATGGATTTAGGTCACCTATAATCTCAACTCGTTCCACGTAAAATTTGGGCTTTGTCGGTATTGGGGTCTGGGTGTGGCACTCATTGCAATGCACCCTTGTCTAAAAATGGCAAAATTAAATGCTAATTATCTACCCTACGGAAGGAGTTATGGGAAAAATTTCTATAGACGGCTTTCCAAAAGTCATATGTGTAGATTTCAAATATACCCTTGGATTTGACCTTTGACCTTTACTTCAAGGTCAAATGGGCCAAAATTTTCAAAAAAATGAAATTTTTTACGAAAAAATTTTTTTTTGCCCTGTTATTCAGACACCACACAGACTTAACCAATAATATTATTGGAAAGTGTTACCCTTCAGGTCATCTTTCATCTCCATGAATTTGGGGTCAATCGGTGCATTTTCACGGGAGTAGCGGCCATAAGATACCGAAACTGAAAACTGTCTCTAATTCGGGAACCGTTAATGCTAGAGACCCATTCTTTTTTGCATTTTGTAGAGCATGTAAAGCCCAACACTGGAGGTGGTCTCGGTTTTTTTGTATTCCATACGGTTTTCGAGTTACGCTGTATCAAAAAGTACATATTGGTGGTGAAAGCAAAATGTGCAGTACGGTAATGGATAATAAATTTTGAACTCCGGAAAAATAAAACATAAGGCTTGGCAAAGCAGACAACTTGTGGTCAAAAATGACATTATTTCATCAAATTTGAACATCTGGAACTTCAGAGCACCTCCCATTTCAAGAATTTTGACCAAAATGACCTTTTCTTTATTTTAATTAATTTTTTCTGTAGGAAATTTATGGCACATTATGGTAACTCCAAAATTATAACATTTAGTCCCTTATATCTCCAAAACTGGCAGAGATAGGTCCATAGTTACTATTGAACTTGAATAGGAAGTCATATACTGGCAATCTAAATGTGACCTTAAAATTGACCTTTGACCTACTTTTCACCATGAACTGAACATTGCAAATTTTGCTTCCCTTTTATCTCCAAAACTGGCAGAGATAGGTCCGTAGTTTCTATTGGACTTGAATAGGAAGTCATATACTGGCAATCTTACTGTGACCTTGAAATTGACCTTTGACCTACTTTTCACCATGAACTGAACTTTGCAAATTTTGGTTTCCTTTTATCTCCAAAACTGGCTGAGATAGGTCCGTAGTTACTATTGGACTTGAATAGGAAGTCATATACTGGCAATCTATATGTGACCTTCAAATTGACCTTTGACCTACTTATAATCATGAACTGAACTCTGCTAATTTCTTTCTCTTTTAACTCCAAACATGGCAGAGATAGGTCCATAGTTACTATTGAAGTTGAATAGGAAGTCATATACTGGCAATTTACTGCGACCTTGAAATTGACCTTTGACCTACCTTACGATGAACTTAACTTTGATTGTACCATTTTAAGTTATATATATTTTTTGCGTATTTTGAAAATTCTTGTTGATTGCATTTTTATAGCTTGTCAAGCATAAGACTGGTGGCTGTGTCCCTTATTTTGTGTATGTGGGGGTCTATACGAATGCGTTTGCTCCAGCTGGTGGTACAATATTTGGAGGCGGTATCGCCTCTCTGATCCTCTAGTTTCTTTTAACTTCAGGTATCCTGAAATATAGAAATTTCATTTAGTGCAGATGTCATGAATTGATTTTAATTTAATCACTTTTCACAGCTCACACAGTGGAATGTAGAAGTTTCTTTAAGTGCAGATGTCTTGAATTCATTTAATTATTTTTCACAGAAATTTTGTTTAGTGCAGTTGTAATTCATCTTATCACCTTTGACTTCAGGTATCCTGAAATATAGAAATTTCATTTAGTGCAGATGTCATAAGTTCATTTAAACACTTTTAACTTCAGATTTCCTGAAATGTAGAAATTTCATTTAGTGCAGATGTCATGAATTCATTTAATCTCCTTTAACTTCAGGTTTCCTGAAATATAAAAATTTCATTTAGTGCAGATGTCATAAATTCATTTAATCTCCTTTAACTTCAGGTATCCTGAAATATAGAAATTTCATTTAGTGCAGATGTCATAAGTTCATTTAAACACTTTTAACTTCAGGTTTCCTGAAATATAGAAATTTCATTTAGTGCAGATGTCATGAATTCATTAAATCTCCTTTAACTTCAGGTATCCTAAAATATAGAAATTTCATTTAGTGCAGATGTCATAAGTTCATTTAAACACCTTTAACTTAAGGTATCCTGAAATATAAAAATTTCATTTAGTGCAGATGTCATGAATTCATTTAATCTCCTTTAACTTCAGGTATCCTGAAATATAGAATTTTCATTTAGTGCAGATGTCATAAGTTCATTTATCTCCTTTAACTTCAGGTATCCTGAAATATAGAAAGCATGAGTGCGAATAAGGGGGTAAAAGTGCCCACTTTTGTACATGAAAAATAAATTGTGAATGAATGAAAAAAAATTGATGCCTAATTAAAGTTGGGGGCTTACACTTTTATGATCCACATAAAATAATATTTTTATTGAATTTGAAATATAAAAAATTAATGGTAAAATGACCTTGTCAAATATTCATGAAAATGTGTGTTTTAGGGGGGGGGGTCTGAATTGTAACGCTACATATCTTTAGTTATAGTAAGGTGACAACTGTGAAATTTTGTAATTGGGTACAGAAGGTGCCTGTGTAAAAAAGAAAGGCAATAAGTGGCCAATCACTGCTTGTGATCAATATATTGATTGCTTTATTCTTAAATGTAGTGCTGATTGAAAGAAGAATCTTACAGTGACTTGAGGATAAAAGATGTTCATTTTTTATATGAGCCCCTGCCTCAGACAAGCTAATTATTCACGGTTGAAAAGATATGAATATAAGGTGAGATATATGTGAAAATCAGCTTGTCTGAGGGTTGGGCTCGATATGTACTCAAACTAAATAGGGACATTTTCAGTCCATATGCTAGCAGGCGGCCATGTTTATTCCTGCCATGAGGTAGTTGCTACATGCTTACATAGGATGGCTAGGCAGATACAGTGAAACTTTTGTACAAAAAGAACAACCCAAAATAAAATGTAGGTCTTTGAAAGAAAAATAGGGGTTAGAGTCAGTAAAATATTTTCAATTACAACCAAAAAAAAAGAAAAGTCATTTTCATGTAATGCATGCTATCCAAAAAAAAGGGGGGGCGGATATGGATAGGAAATAGAGTCCAAATACAGTAAGTATATCATACTTTGATTCTTATTTCTTAGGATTAAGAAAGATTAAATGTAAAATGATATTCAAAGTTATATTAATTATCTAAATAGCAGATGTACATTGTGGTGGCTCCTACTTTATATAGAGACCCATGCTGTAATAGACCTCTACACATAAGGGTGGCTTGACTCAACCCCCTCTAATGGGCATGAAAGTACATTTTGTACAACCAAAATTGTTGTGTAAATGTCCCCTTTTATGTCTATTTTGCATAAAAAGTAAAATAAAATGCTCCATCCCACACACCCTAGTTTTGTTACTTATGACCTAATCTTCCACACCAGCACTATTCATAATAGCTTTGCAGAGTTTTTTCTTTTATTTTCACCAAAATGCTATGAATAATTTTATTAGAAAAGTTATATAAAATTAATAAATACACTGAAACAAGTTTTTCTAGTTACAAGACTTTTATACAGTTAAGTGAAATCAGTGATGGCTTCTGTGAGTAAATAAAGTAATATGCCACCCCTCCCTCTCTTCTCTAGGATTAAAAAAAACATAATTACTTTCCCATTTTCTTGTGTCACACCACAATTATTTAACATATAACTCTTTTACATCACAAGACAAGTTTCATTTGACAAAAAAATAATTTATGTAATATATATGCTGAAACAAGTTGCTCTGATTCATTAGACTGCATACAACAGGTAAATCCAGCTCCCCCCCCCCCACATACAACTCATTAAAAATACTAAGTTACGATGCCTCAAACCAAATAATATTTTATCACACAACCAATATATGTATAAACTTTATAATAGCAATTTTTTTAAAAATTTTGACGATGGGCACTTTGCCAATGGTTATTCGCACTCATCCTTTCAATTAGTGCAGATGTCATAAGTTCATTTAATCACTTTTAGCTTCAGGTATCCTGAAATATAGAGATTTCTTTAAGTGCAGATGTCATGAATCAATTTAACATCCTCTAACTTCAGGTATCCTGAAATTCCATCCGGATGACATCCAGTCTGGAAAATCAGATCAATTATCTTCGGTGGAGAGCGAACCCAGCATGTCAACCAGTCTCCAGGGCTACAAATTAACAGATGGCTCCACGAAAAGGTGGGTTCAGAAACAAGTCTTTGTTGATATATATATATTTTTTCGATTGCTTCATAGAAAATGACTTGTATCGAGAATGTTTCACCAAAAATGCTGAAAAATTCATTTGTCGATTGCTTCATAGAAAATGATTTGTATCGAGACTGTTTCATCAAAAATGCTGAAAAATTCACTGGTAATAAAATCTGTATTGTGATTGTTTTATAGAAAATTGTTTGTATTCAGAATATTTTACCCAAGATTCTGAAAAAAAATTTAAATGTCATTTTTTGTTTCTTCTTTCTAAATGTGCGTAAAGAATCAATATCAAATTGTCTTTTAGCGATCTGTGTCTTCCTGAAACTCGAGGTCAGATTATTATTTTTATTATTATTTTTTTAAGATCTCAAAGCAACAGCAACATCAGCAGTGCCCTTTGGATGGCTTTTGTACAGCAATGCAATCTGGAGAGGAGTAAGATTGGAATGGGAGGTATATCCCGAAAGATGGAACAAAACAGCACGTCTAGTGACTCCAGTTTGAACATGCGGGTGGGCCAAGTGGATTGAGGCGGATATTGTGGGGTTGAATTGACTTGATAATGGAGTGCCCTGGGCATTCCATTTGCACAACAATATAGCACAAAATTTGTTCTCTCTCACTCTCGAGTTCACTTATAGAGATTAATCGGCCTGATTCAGGAATGTTAATGACTTTGTCTTTAAAAATCATGGTATTGGTTGGTAAAGTTCCCTTGTAGTTAGTTACCTTCTATTATTAACAGATTTGCATATGACATTGTTTTATATTTTTGTGAGGAAGACGTGAATTGTTCTCTGTGAAAACATAACATTTAGGATATTGTAAATCATGACATTGTAATGTAATACACTGCTATATATAGCAGTGTGATTATTTATGAATGTTGTTTTAAGACATAACATTTTGGGGAACTTTTAGTAAAAGAACAATATTTGAACCAAAAATCATGATTATAGGTTATCTATTTAAGCACTTGCATACTACAGTTGCATACAACAGTGTTATATATTAAAACTGTTATTACTAAAAGACAACTCCCTTTGTATGCTGACATCATAATCTCTACAGCACTTGGGTAGACCGTGTATAAGTACAGAATAACTTATTTTTGCTGTCATTTTCGCACAAAGGATAACAAAAGTCTAATTTTTTATTACTTTGTCAGAGGTATTGACCTTCTCATAGGTCCTTAAGGTTGGTGCATTGAAGTAATATCAGATGTGAAATATCACAGGGTAAGTCGTCCCATTAATGTTTCCTCAACTGCGTGGGCATCTGATAATTGTCATTAATCCAGATAAGAGCATGCAGGTTCACTTCTAAGCATGTTGACAGCATTTATTTATGAAAAAATTACAGCACTATCATAAGATGAATTTTATATTGGTAAAAATTGATTTTCTGCCCTTATATGGGAAAAAAATGACAAAGCTAGCATTTCTTATTGTAAATGGGCAGTTTATATTCAGCTGTTTTATATTTGGGGATCGGAAGTAGCAGAAAGTTAATGAAAAGTAATTTGTTGCTACAGAGACAACTAAAACGTTTTTCTATATACAAGGCATGACAGCCTTTTGGCTGTTAATTTTTAAAGAATGTTTATGACCAATTTTGAACACTTCTTTTTCTCCACATCTCAATGGGGTGATTGTTGATTCAATGTGTACAACAAATACATGCCATGACTGATTGGCAGATAAAGGGGGGGGGGGGGAGTTGAAGATTTTTAGCAAATTGTTCCTCAGGGAGTAATAGGTAATTAGTACCACCAGCGTGTACGCTGGTGGTACTCATGGTTTTAGTCGCGACCCGTCTCGTACGGCTCCTGCGGCTCCGCGTACCGCCGCCAGATACAAGTCACCGTTACCGCTTCTCCTCCTAGACTGCAAGGACCCATGTCCCCATCTCTTGGATTTAGGTCACATATAATCTCCACTTGAACCCTCTGTTCTTTTTGTCTCAGTCAGTGCATTGGCCTGGGTATGACGCTCGTTGAAACACACCCTTATCAAAATTTTTGAAAATTCAATGCCAAATATCTCCCAAATCGAAGGAATTATGGGAAAAATTACTACAGAAGCCTGACCAAAAGTCACATGTGAAGATTCCAAATGTGCCCTTGGATTTGACTTTTGACCTTTATTTCAAGGTCAAACGGGCCAAAATTTTCTAAAAATCTTAATTTTTTGCGAATAATTTTTTATTTCTGCTGATTTTCAGAAACTACACAGATCTAACCTATGATATTATGGGTAGTTGTTACCCTTTGGGTCATCTTTCATCTTTTTGAGTTTGGGGTCAATCGGTGCATTTTTATGGGAGTAGCAGATGCCGAAACTGAAAACTCTCTCTAATTCTGGAACCATAAATGCTAGAGACCTCTTGTTTTTTTTTTATTTTGTAGAGCTTATCAAGTGCAACATAGAAGGTGGTGTCCATTTTTCCTTTTTCGATTCGGCTTAGGCGTTGCATTATGTTTAAAAGTTCAATATCCGATATTCAGTGGTGAAAATAAAATGTGAAATACTCCAAAATTAGCTGAGATACACCCATAGTTACTATTGAACTTGAAAAAAGTTGTATACTGGTAATCTGACTGTGACCTTGAAATTGACCTTTATATCTCCAAAACTGGCAAAGATTCGCCCATAGGTACCATTGAACTTGAATAGGAAGTCATATACTGGCAATTTACTGTGATCCTAAAATTGACCTTTGACCTAATTTTCACCATGAACTAAACTTTGCAAATTTTCCAGACCTTATATCTCTTAAACTATCAGAGATACGCCCATAGTTACTGTTGAGTAGGAAGTCATATACTGGCAATCTTACTGTGACCTTGAAATAGACCTTTGACCTACTTTTCACCATGAATTGAACCTTGCTAATTTTGTCACCCTTATATCTCAGAAAACTGACAGAAGTAGGCTCATAGTTGCTATTGAACTTAAATAGGAAAGCATATACTGGCAATCTGTGGCCTTGAAATTGACCTTTGACTTACTTTTTATGATGAACTGTACTTTGCATGTTTTCTGGCATTTATATCTCCAAAATTGGCAAAGAAATGCCAATAGGTACTATTGAACTTGAATAGGAAGTCTTATACTGTGACCTTGAAATTGACCTTTGACCTTCTTTTTCACTGTGAACTGCATATTTTCTTGCCCCTCATATCTTCAAAACTAGCAGAGATATGCCCAGTGTTGCCCCTTGGTTTTCTTTTTTATCAGCAAATATGCAACACTGATAATACATTTCGAGGAAAACCAATAGGCCTTTTGTCTAGAAAATCACAAGTGTGATCAATTTGAGGAAAATACAGGTCAATTCGAAAATTGATAGGACCATTTTTACAGTTATTATTTATTTATTTATTTATTTTTATTTTATTTTTATTATTATTATTTTTTTCTTTTGATATTTTGAGAATTCTTGTTTTTTGCATTTTATGGAGCTTGTCAAGCACAAGACTGGTAGTGGTGTCCCTTTTTTTTTTTTTTTTTTTGGATACGAATGAGCTTACTCCAGCTGGTGGTACAATATCCAGAGGCGGTATCGCCTCTCTGATCCTCTAGTTTAATAAATAGATTATGTATTATTTTCTGTGTTAAGTATGGTTGAGTTAAAAAAAAAAACAAATTTGGACTCACATAAATTCCAGATTTTTATACTCCAGTCTTGAGTTTTGCTTTCAATTGTTGGATGTGTTTTTTTCAGAAGCAGTGACATTAATGAAAAAGTTAACAAAATGCATTTCCATTACAAACTGCATCACTTGGTAAACGATCTATTTTTTTATCACATAGAATTTCATTTCATTTCACAGTGTACAACACGGTACATGTCATTGTAACTCCACAGTGTCAGATTAAGTGAATGACAACAAGTCATGTCCTCTGCTTGATGTTCATCTTTTATTATTTGCTTTTATTTTAATGTTTATAATACGAGGAGAGAATACAATTTTAGTTGACATTTGTGTTAATTTACGTGTTGCAGATGTACTGATTTTATGTAACTAGTATAGTGCAAGCTGTGAACAAGAGTCCTGATTGACGACTGAACCACAGCTTTATTATTTTTTTTAATTACTATTATCGTATAGGTATTCACGTAGAGTTTATTAACAAATGGCTGATAGACTGTTACAGTTATTTCTTTGCAGTGGCAAAGCATCTCCAAATGTTTTGAACTGGTATTTATCATAGCCAATTGCAAGCAGTGGAAATTGTCTGAGACAGCCTAAAACTAGGTCTCTGATACTTCCAATAAGATACTAGAAAACTTGTGAAAATCTGCATGGGGTAGTGATAACCTTATGGGTACACACAAAAACATGGTAAATATGTACTGTTGTGCAAGAATTCAGAAAAAAAAACGTACATGAATTCTGGAACCCTTTTTTTTTTTTTTTTTAACACCACACTCTAGTATGCTATTACTTTCTTACTTTCGATCCCAGAGTCCTGTGAAATCTCTTATCATTTTACATTAAACACGAGACTTTGGGTTGTCTCCCAATGATTTCTTTCCATTAAGCCTGTAAAGTACTTTTCTCCATTCTTGTGTATTTTTGAGCATAAAAATTACCCAGGTTTCATGCTTGAAACAAATGAATATGAATGAAATAATAAAGTAAGAATAAAAAGGTTTGAAGGATAAATGTATATTTGAAGACATTTTTATGTATGTGTAGATGTGTCCTCACATGGAGATATTGTTTATGTATGTATGTATATATATATCTTTTTATGAGACATTTGTTCTCATTTTGTCTGCATATAAATGTAAGGGACATCAACCAGATGTAGTAATAAAAAGATTATAAAATAGTAAGAAAAAAAAAAAAATTTCACATTAAGAAAAAAAAAACCCTTTTAACTTTATGGTTAGTAATAAACCTCAGTAAATAATGAATGAACAGTTTTCAATCTACATTTTGTAAAGTATGATTCTTACTTAACATCAGTTTAGATTTGAGATCATGTCAAATTGATGTTACATGCTAAGACCCTTTAAAATAATGTGTCAAAATATACAGTGACGGGAACTTTCTTGGTCCTTTTGAGACCGTGTTCTTGGGGCCTACATTGGGTTTCAGAGTATAGTGTAAATTATGTTAATGACTCGTATCTTTTTCAGTTGGGGAAAATTGTGAATTTTTCAAATACAATTTTTTCATGTATAAATTAATAAAATTATATCAGTATAATCACTACAAATCCTACACAGAATGTGTTTTGATGATTCTAAAATTAAGTTTTTAAAAGACCGAGTATGTTCCCCATTAAAAAGATTGAGTATTTACCAAAAGAAACCCTCCAAGTACAGGCCTAACCAACTACCAGACTCGGCACCTAAGGATCCTGAATTAACCGGCATGTCGGACCACGCTACCCGTTTTCAAGGTGTGTGTCAGATCGCATTTCGGAGTATCAAACCCCAGAACAAATTTTGTAGCACGACTGCGGGCTCATCCACGCTCGGCTGAACAACCTTAAACTGTACTCTTACTTTAGAGTACTCTATTTTATTGTCTCTATGGGGATATTTGGGGACTTTACGACATTCGGTTTGAATGTTTTAACCACTTTTGATAGGGCTTTTTTGCATTGTATCAGATAATGTGGCAGTCTAAGGTTCATCTAGGTGGCTTTCAAATTTATGCACCCGGTTTTAAAATCATATAGCGATTTTACGACAATCGTTTACTATCCAATCAAGGTGACAGCCGAGCATGCCAGGGCTCATCCTGTCGGTGTTCTGGCTGATACTCCGAAATGCGATCTGACACACACCTTGAAAACGGGTAGTGTGGTCCGATATACCGGTTAATTCAGGATCCTTAGGTGCCGAGTCTGGTAGTTGGGTAGGCCTGAAGTAACTAAGAAAGTTGAAGCCAAATATCAAATCAACATACTATCAAAATGTCAACCAACTGTATCATCAATTCTAAAGTCCACTTGTATCGGAGTTCTTTCCTTTATGTAACATTAATTTTATTAATAAAACATTATTTCAGTGCAATAAAAAATTTCTGACTGAAGGAAAATTTCTTTTTTTTTTTTTTGTCAAACAATTAATGTTGCAGCCTCATTTTTTCAGAGCAAACTATAAGTGCGTGTTTGGAGGGGGGTACCATTCAGAAAAAATTACGGCCTTGGGGAAGGTGGGGTTCATGTTATCTGCATAGACTGCAATCCCATAAACCTATCTTACTAGCAGGATGGATCCTATTCTGAGGGGATTCTCGCTAAATTGCATTCAATTTAAGCGGCTTAAATGTCTGTCACGTCCACTGAAGCTGCCAGGGGGAATATGAACTTTTGTGCACACTTAAACTAAATGGAATGTAGTGAAAAACCCATGGAGATAGATTGATCATGCTAGTACTATAGGGTATGGGAATGGTCCCATAGATGTTCACCATTGGTTTGACATGAGTTTAAACCTATGGTATAATGTTTCAATACTTTATGGATAGTGCCCCACGACTCTCTGCCTCCTGCACTCAGAATAAGTTCCCATAAACCTATCGTACTAGCTGGATCAACTAGCTCTGTGGGACATCTGACTAAAGTGCTTTCAGCGTAAACACCTTAATTATCTGGCACATGTATAATTGGCTTAATTGACTGGTGTTCATTACTCTCTCGCAGCTTGAGTAGGCGTGCCAGACATTTGAGCCGCTTACACAGAATGCAATTTAGGGAGAATCCCCGTAGATGACTCAGATTGATCCAACTAGCTCGAAAGGTTTATGGGAAGGCTTCCGTATGGCAGACACGGCTGTAATTTGGGGAAAGACTTAATCCCCTTCCCCAACCCAGAGTAGTTTCGAATATTTGCAAACTTAAAAGAGCGCAATCCACAGATATATGAAATTTGCTTTGATATCTTTCCCTATAATAGAGAAATGATATTTTGGGCAGTTTATTTTGTTAGCTATCACTTGATTCACTCATTATTTATTTCCATTTGTTTTTGAAGCCAAAATTAATTAATTATGTAAAGCGGTGAAAAATTGGAGCGATTTGCTTCAGTCACACCCAAACGCATTCCCCTCAACACTGCGCAATCTCACCTAACACATCCACTACGGGTCCACAGCCATCTTCACACGGACAGATTCGTTGTTGGTATAGAAGTAGAGAAAATTTTCTCTACTTCTATGGTATTACTTTACACATGACTGAGCTGGTTAAATCAAAAATGCATACGTACCGGCGTATAGATTATACACTATTTATGATTATCAGCAATAAACGTGGAAGATACAGGGCATTTTCTTTTTTCTTAAGGGCCTAAGGTATTTTCCCGAACAATAATAAGCAGTATAGTACACCAACAACCCACATTACTACCGGACCTGAAATTTTCATTATAAACGTGACTATGTTGATGTCGAGACATGCAAAACACGTTTTCCCAGTTGGTTAAAAAGTGCTCTTCATTCTCTAGAGCTCATTTTCCCTTTTCGACTGGTGTTAATTTACTTGGCATTGTGAATGCGGATTCTTTATGATTATAAAAATGTAAAAACAAAAATGTCTCTAGACTGAGTAAGGTTGTCCTGTTGCATTCACTGCTTTAAACAAGGCAATGAGGCATATCAAAATGCTTTACAAATTCGAGCATGGGCTTGTATGTAGCGCAATCTACTATTTGTAATGACTAGCGCCCCGGCTGACATCCCAAAAGCAAAGTATATGATGCAGACGATCAGTTTTCTGCACTGAAGTATCTTCTTCCCACAATCCTCAGCGCCACGCATGCGTGATGCTATTCAAAACAAAATGAAAATGGCGGCTTATGGCCATGGAGGCCAGAGCCCAACCTCTCTAACAAGGACGTTAGAACGCGTCTTTGATGAAGCCCAGCACACGGGGGAAATCAACCTAAGCGGAAGAAAGATTAAGGAATGGCCAAAAGTCGCCATGAAGTACGATCTATCGGATACAATACTCACAGGTTAGTAAGTAGCGAAAGACGTCTCGGCAGAAATTAATTTGTTGTTGATGCCTTTAATCATAAGGTTAAATGGGTGTGTGCCTTGTATGTGAGAAAAAAATGACAAAAAAAGCTCACTACTCTGCACGGCTGTTATGATTTTGGAAAATGATTATGAGACCCTACAAATTGGAATGATTATTTTATCACAGAAGCAAGCACTTCAGAGAGAGAACGAGGACTTCCGATAATTCATGACATTTTAATGCAGTTTGCCGGGGTCGGGTAGATCGTCTGATGACATTAACAGTGATAAAGATTTTTTAAATTATATCTTTGACATTTTTCTTACTTAGCGAAATTCATAATCAACTTTCCATGGGCACAAGTTTTTTCCAAGGTTTTATTACAATGTTTTAAAAATCCAGAAGTATATTTATAAACACTGCCGTGTGTGTTGGGGGAGGGGGGCTAGTGTTAGAAATACAGTTAACCACTTTCTCTCAGAACCCAAAACAGTGATTTGATAGTCGAACCAGTGAAATTTCATTATTATTATCATTTTTTTTACTTTCAGAATTTTTAAGTAGTTTGAGTCAATTATTTCTGTCTTACTCATTTAACACAATGGGTTATTTAGCAAAATATATATTTAATAAATTGTAGTTTGTATGTGTGCAAATCTAGATTGCACCCCCTTACACACACACATACACATGCACACCAACTGTATAGGTATTTGGATTTGCTCTAGCTTTTTCCTCAGATGTTCAAAAATCCCAATAACATCCATTCCCCAGTGTCACAAATCCAATCAAACCCAGCCATATGATATCTCCTGTGTACTGATGATTACATCAAGTAACACAAGCATGTTTCACTAAAGAACTATAGGCCAGAAGTTGATCCAGTTGTTAACGTCAAATTTGTAGTCAATATGGCCCCAGACAAATCAGTAGTTATACAGTCGTTTGCAGATAAAACAATTGTGTCTGTATTTTAACAAGAAGAAAACGACTCTTTCTGTAGTAAGTAGTTTACAAAAAGCCCATGCTTTCACTATACTATTTGTTTTTGACATATCCAAGAATTGGTTTACAGAAACCCCACTTTTCTATTTATTTTTTGTTTGTTTGTTTGTTTCAGAGATCACCAAAAGCCAGTTTAATGGTATCCCTTCTTTCCATTTTACTTCAGTCATTACTTAGAATCAGTTTAATTAAACCTAGTATTTCTATTCCATTCTGTTTCAGACATCTCCAAAAATCGTTTCACAGAAATCCCATGTGATCTATGCAATTTGCTGTCTACCACTAAGCTGCAGTGTTATCACAATGTGATCAGGTGCCTACCAGATATGTTGAGACAGTTACAGGGATTGACATACCTCAATGTCAGGTGAGCTTGACCTTCATGTCCAGTGGGGTTGACCTTCATGTCCAGTGGGGTTGACCTTCATATCAAGTGAGGTCATCTTAATGTCAAATAAGGTTGACCTTAATGTCAGGTCTTGACCTTCATTTCATGTGTGTTTGACCTGTATGATAGGTGTGTTTGACCTGTGACAGGTCAGGTTGACCTTAATGTCAGGTGTGTAAGACCTTTGTTAGGGAAGTTCGGCCTTAATTCCAGGTCTTTTTGACCTTCATGTCAGATGTGATTGGCCTTTGTCAGGTGAAGTTGACCTTCATGTTTGGTGCTTTTCATCTTGATATTATGGTTTGGCCTTAACATTTAAGTCATTTTTTTGCTGAAATTGGAATTACTATAGTTATCAAAAAAGCTACGTAATGATAGCGTATAAAATATTCATATAAATCTACTAAGGCTTCAGTTGACTTAGCCAAAATTTCAAAAACAAAAATGTTTTTATCACTGATTTGACTTTGAAATATGAATCAGCTACTAGTAAATGAATTTAGCTGAGCTGCAGAAGAGTTTATCCTAGGTAAGCCAACATACCTCATGCACCAAATTAATATGTACTTACACATCCACAAGATTAGCATACTTCATAGTTAGGTTGGTTACCCCCCCTGGCCTAAGCGACCCACGTATGGGGTAAGATCTAAAATTCTTAAGTGTCAGGTAAGAATTGTGCCTATTAAGTGTAAGGTGAATGGGAAGTGAGTAAGAGATGCCCAAATATGAAATGATACATTGTTAAGCCTTTTTTTTTCTTCTTAGGAAGAATTTATTTATATGATTTTTCAAAAGGCAGTGTAACCAAGGGTAAAACGTATGGAGTGATATTAATGTATTTTTCTTGTTAGGCCTGTCAGACTTTGCAAAGCTGTGTTTAGACCAAGAATGTTTAATTTAACCCAAGAATGAAATTGTAAATGGAGAAGTCACTTTTTCAAAAATAAAAAAATGTTTATGAAGAAAAGAAATACAAATCTAGACCTTATCAGAGAACTAAATTTGGAGGAGCATTAACTTTTTTGTGTGGTAGGTAAATCTTGTGCCAGCTGTGGTGTTTTTATCTAGGGCTATATCAGGGGCTTTTATTAAATCCTCAGGTTAATAGACAGTCTAATGTCTATTTCATTAATCATTTCTTGCATAGATTTGATACAGCCCACTAACACCTTCATTTGCTGAAAATGTATCATAGAGAAAAGGCTTGTGGGTCTCAGTTTTACAGACCGTTGAATTGGATGTCTCTCTATTAATATTTGGAGACTTTTTAAATGAAAGTCTTATATTTCTTGTCTCCCACTTTTAAAAGCAGTACAGTTCAACAAAACAAAACATGGAAATAATGATAAGCCTTGGGTGTTCCACTAAAGAGCTTATTTATAAGCCTAAAATTTGGTCAAACTTTTAGGAAAAAAAGTCTGCTTTCACCCTAAAAAAATTAATAGTAATGTACAGAAGATGAAAAAGTGTGCCAGTTTTATTACAAGGAAGACTTTTTCTTAAGTTTGACTTCAAATGTTTTGTGAAGCAAGGTTTTAGTACGTTTTTAACTGACAACATTTTGCCCGAAGTGTTTTTTTGTTGAACAGCAAATCACTCCAACCAGGTTTTATAGGCATAAGTTTAACTGAAGGTCATAACAGTATTAACCTGTATATATTTACAGTCAGGGGAAATGTCATTAAAAATTAAGTGGGATACTGGGTGGGACATTACATTATTTGGCCAATGGTAATGTCTTTCCACACCTTAATAAGACAATAGTACAGAAGTGGTCAAAGAGGAATCTCACTATTGTTTTATTTTCTCCTAAGTCACATCATTTCAGTAAATTTTCATCATTTCAATGAAGAGGAGGTAATCACTGTACTACAAATAATTTTCACCAAATGTTCAAAATATTCCACAATTTCACCAGATATACCCTTGATTTGGTTCTGAACATATAGCCTTCTTAAAGATGTTAATTATAAATTTAGCCCAGACGTATCTACTTTCGCTCTCGAAACAACCACTTCTTAAGTATTGACTGGGCTTGAAGCTGAGGGCTTATGTATTGGATATATATATAATAGAGTACAAGGTTTGGCACTTAAACTTAAAGCAGCACATAGCTTTGCATACAGAGACCAGTGTTTGTTTCGTTTCATGCTGTCACGTAGTCCATATCATCAACCTTAGAGATCGCCCTTTGATACAAAGTACAAAAGTATTCTCTCCACAGCAGCTTTAGCCATTTCAATTTGATATACGCTTTATAACTGGACTTGTTTTAAGTTTCAATTAGGTATTATTTGGTTTCATAGCTTTAAGCTTGCCGTGCATTACCTGACTATTATTTTCAGATTTGCATTTACCTGAGAGGCTTGGTTGATCCATGAATTGTTGGATGTATTACTTTGAAGAGAGCATTTGAATGTGGATGTGAAATGTTGTATATATGTGGATTACTGATAAGGTATATGGATAGTAAATTGAATGAGACAATAAATCGCACTTGTGCCCATTATCATGCTTGTAAATGCAGTTCACATGCACTCTGAAAATGAGAACAAAATATGCAATTCATGAAATGAATAGATAATAGAAGTATGTAGAAATAGATCAAACATGTAAAGAATTCCCCAGTCAATACATTTCTGTCAGTGAATAGCTGCAATGGTTACGTTTCCCTTCACCTCCAACCCGAGATGAAATAAAACTTATTGTACTGCATTGTGCGTCATAACAAATGCACCGGGTAAATCTGTGGAAAATCTGTGGAGATCTGAAAAGTAATTAATACACAGTGGTTCCTGTATCAGATCAGTCGAAGATACAGAGCTCTACAAGTTAATGCTATAACTGTCAGAGCATCATTCCTGCCCTTGGAGCCATGACTGGAGGGATCCATCAAGGGCACATTCAGAACAAGTTAATCCCTGGACTAACAGATCCGCAGCCGACCCACTTGAAAGCTTGCTGCAAAATGATCCCATAAGAGACACTGAATAGATTCCACGCGGGGATTGCATGGTAAGCTTACAAGTGGGTTGCCGTTGGCCATATTTGGTCCACGGATATGTTAATCTGTGTATTAAATTTGGTTGTGAATGCAGCCTGTGTTCAGACTGAGTGACATAGCGGAGCTATGCTGAGCATGTGGTGTACATGTGTGCACTGTTAGCTAGGATAACACGCCATGTGATAACTTGAGGAGAAAGGTAGTTCCCTTCTGCTCGGAGACTTGCCAGCATTTTCAGCATAGAAATACATGCTAATATGTAATATACTCTATATTATGAAATGGATATGTGATATACATACACTTATACAGTAAAGAAAAATGTAAGACATTCCATCCATGAAAACAAAAGTTTAAAAAAGAAAGAAAGAATGAAAAAAATGTTTGGATTTCCATCTATGAAAACATAAAACCAGATAGAAAGCTGTTTAGATTTCTATTCATGAATAGCAGATTGGAAGTCAAAGGAGTTGAGATAATGTCCACTGCACTGCTGTTCTCACTATGGAGACATCTCTGGTATCCAGGTTAACTGCATTGCTGCCTCCACCTTGTCAGCTTGCCTCTAGGGGCTCATCACCAATAAAACTATCGTTCTATGTAGATCAATCCAACTCCATGGGGACTTTTTCTCAATGCAATCTGTTTTACAGATTAACACCTCTTGTTTACAACATATTGGTATAAGGACCAGCTTTTCTATATTCTACTCAATGCCAGGAGAGGCATGTCATTCAGTAAATGTGATTATATTCATTCAGCAAGAGTACCTGACGGGTTGGGTTGATCTATGGAGAACAATCGTTTCATTGCGAATGAGCCCCAAGAGGTTGAAATTGTCAAGACGAAATTAGCTTTCTTGAAATGCAGAAATAGTTATTTAATGAGAAGAATGGAATGTTTTATCACTGGGGGTTCTCCTTTGCACAGGCTTTCCAAGTTTGATTTTAATTCAGGTACATGAGTATGAATGCTTAGCCAAAAAGAAGCTAGAGCAAATGAAATTTGGTTCAAAATTATGACCAGTTTCACCCTTGGGTTATTTTGAAAGCTGATCCCAGTGGCGAAAAAAAAAAAAAAGATAATCTTTTCTCAAGCAGCAGATTACCAGTTCAGCTTCAGGCATATCAACAGCTGTAACATACAGGTAAACACACACCTTCATGGAAGAGAGAAAGTCAGTGCAAATTAGATCTCATAGTGGGGCAATTAATACCTATCCAACAGATAATCCAACTACAACCAAATGCTGATTGATATATATATACCTGATGGGTATTTCAGGTGAATCATTAGAACTGTCAGGCAGGCAATTATACCTGTCAGTGGGTAGATTAAGAAAAGTGTACCATAAATAATATTTAAGGGTAAGAGATGTGGATGTCAGAGCTAACATATCAGGTCATCTGTTTCCTTGTTATTTAGCAAGATTGTGGAAGTCAACAGGGGCTCTGTGGGGGGGGGGGGGGAGAGAGAGAGAGAGAGAGAAAACACCTGAGCTTCTGTGCCTGAAAGTAACCTGTACATACAGGTGTGATAGTGGGGGTTCTCTTTACCTTGGGCTGTCTATGTGTTGAAATGTTGGTTCATCTACATAATGTTGAGATGCACAGTATTAGTGATGGCAAATATGAACAGTCGAAATACATGCCAGTGTCCAACCAGAGCCAGTTTGACCAAAGAACCTAGGGCCAAAGTATTGGGTTATAAATTTATAACTTCAGAAATATTGTGGTTTACTTTGTCCTATAGGCTAAGACAAAACAGTTAAAGTTGACTTAAATGAGGATGTCCAGCCTGTTGCCTAAGAACATGAACAAAAAAACTTTCTGAGATTTATAGATGTATTAGTTTAGTTATAGATTATGTATGTAGTTATAGTGGATTGCATGGAAGCTTAATGTTGAATTTTTAAGTTGTGAAACTGTGTGACCTGATCCTGATTCAGCTCTATGGATAGATTTCCTAGGCTGTGGACAATAACCTTGTTATGTCCGCATGTGTCATATTTGATTAATAAGAGTTATCTACCACTTTTGTGTGGACACCCACATACTAGTACATGTGCAGGTAGGTTTACTTACACACACGCACATTCACGCACACACACACACACACACACACAGAGGCAGAGAGAGAGAGAGCATACACATATAATTACACATACTCTCTATCTCACACACACTCTCATGTTCCCCAATCAATGCAAAAATGATCCCTTTTTATGCATATGTCAACTCCATAGTCCAGGATTTATACGAATGCTCAGCATCCTGGCTTTTATTGCACCATCTTTGTTATAAATTGGATATAGATATTTGTTAGGCTCCAGTCAAGTTTTATGGTTTAATTGGATGTATGTAGTCCTCATTATCTTGTACTTTGGTTAATGAAGAGAACTTGGCTTTGATGTGGTATCAATCAATATGTATTCACTGGGGAATCGCTGAACAGTCTTTTGTGAATGGGGATTAGATACTTGAACCTTGCAGCAATATTCTTATAGAGCATGAAATAACAGACAGGTATCATATCGAAAAATAATTATACAGAGAGAGAGAGAGAAAGAGAGAGATGGGAGAAAGGAAAGGGGATAACGAGGTGGATTTGACATTGGGATTTATTAGGATTTTGGATCTGGGGCTTTTGATATACAGTTTATTTGAGTTGGCATGTATCCGTCTGGTGGTCTGAATGCCTATGCATGCATGTACGTGTATGTGCAAATATGTGATTTGTTGTCCAGTTTCCATTGTCACCCACTGCTCTAAAGAGGGAGTTTTTAAAATATCGAGTTCATATTCAATTCACAATTTTCATTTGTCTTTTTTTTTCTGCTTTATATGAACAATTTGTAATGACTTCTTTTTTCCTTTCCAGTCGTAACCAGCTTACGTTAATTCCCCCGTTCATCTGTGACTTGCAGTTCTTAGAAGTCCTTATTGCCAGTAATAATAAACTAGTCTCCTTACCGGAAGAGATAGGAAAACTAGAGAGACTCATGGAGCTGGTAAGGGATAAATGTGTGCCATTGTAACATTTTTTTTTATTTCATCTTGAATATTGTCAACAAATAATCATTATGAATATTGTTACAACTAGCACATTATTATCCTGAATATTGTCACAGCAAGCAAATCCTATGTAATGTCACAACAAACATGTTACCACAGCAAACACATCATTTTTATATTGTCAGAGCTAACACATTTATATCTCTTACATTGTCACAGCTAACACATTTATATCTCTTATAATGTCACAGCTGACACATTTTCATCTATCCATACATTATACTTTAATACACCGTCATCTTGCAAGTAACACCCCACCATTCTTCATATTTGAAGCTACGTAATAACCAACACAATAATTACAGGCGATTTATAATGGACTGATTTGTTTAACAGAAATGTTCAAGACTTGGTTTTGCTGTTGCTTGCTAAATGAAAAACTTTGTGTAAATTCTCTAATTGCAATGGTTTTTGTGAAGATAATACTGGTCCTGAAACCACCACTAGATGGCAGCTCTCTCTTAGCATTTAAACCTGTAATTTCAAGATGTTATTGTGGTGATAAAATGTTAATAGCATTCTATATACTTTGCAAATGACATGGCCTTGACCTACCTTCTTTGTTCTTTTTTTAGGACATCAGCTGTAATGAGGTCACTCACTTGCCCATACAAATAGGAGATTTGACCTCCTTAAGATCGCTCAATGTTCGTAGGAATTTATTAGTAGAATTACCAGCAAGTAAGTATAGAGTTTTGAAAAGAGAGGTTCTAGATAATGAAATTTTCTAAAAGAAAATGGATCATTGATTAACTGAGACTGGAAAAATTATTAAAGCGTGTATGGGTTGCATGCAGACACATTAATTTTTGTGTTGCCCCTTGTATGAGAAAACAAATACTGATTGAGAAGTGTCAGTTATGCTGTTACTGACTGGGCTTTATATGGAGTCTAAGAAGAAATCTGTATTTGGTGTGATATTGTACCCCCTGTGAGTCTCAATTCAGTTACTGATAGCATGTGACAATATTAATGAGTGTTGCCAAGGAGACATAACTAGGTCACAAGGCACTTGCCAAATATTGCATCACATGCTGTCTGTAACTGATAAAAGGCTAACAAGATGGAGGGTATTATATTGTTCCATAATCTTGACATCTCCACCAAGGACAATTACATAACTCAATAACATGATGATGACTATCCGTGTCTGTCAGTTATGCGTCTGTAATAGTATAATATTGATTTTACCCCTCTTATGGAAAAAGCTGTCAATAACAATGAAGACTTTTTTGTCTTTTTCAAACTGGAAATTGATCTTTGATTAATAACCCACAGCACAGGAGCTGTAGAAATGTCTGATACTGTGGCAGTTTCAATGTTTGATTGTTGAAGTGGAAACCTCAGTAGACTCCAGAAGTGGATCTATAGCCCCCTAATGCACAATGCTCGCGGGAACTGTTTTACAAATGACTCACTCTTCTGTCTGGACTTGTATATAAAATAAGTGGCATGAGGATTGCATCACAAGAAAATATGACTGAACTTAACATCTGCTTCCTTCAGACCAGCAGCCTTTCTGAGTTTTCTAGGATTATTTATTTAGACTGTCAAAACTCTGTTAATGAGAAATTTCAAGAAACACTGTCAAAGGGTCATCATTTGTGTCAGACATTTACTGATGAGGAAAATCCAGAAACTTTAACTATTTTTTTTCCTTTTTTTTTTCTTTTCTTTTATTATTTTTTGAGATATTCCTTTTTTTTCAATTTTTTTTGGAGAAAATTTGTATTCTTTCCTATACTTTTGCAATGAACTTCCTAAATCCTTGTTCTAAAAATATTTATTTTGTATTTTCCTATTATTTTCCTATAATGTCTTTTATAACTTGGCACTCTGTTAATGCCACCAGGAAGCAGGTGGCCGTCAGGCTGAGTGATAAGAAAGTTAATGGCCGTGGTGCACTAAGTCAGCTTAATTGCTGCTCTCGGTTGGGTTATGGTTAGGGTTTGATGAATTACCTCCATATTGACCGCCCAATGTCTCAGACTCTCAGTGTGCTAGCAGACTAATAGTTTCATATTCAGAACTATGATAATTTCTCAGTAAATTTGAACTACATTAATTAATGATTTTTTTTTTTAATGAGGTGTTTTGTTTTAAGTAGTTAAATTGCCAATTTGAAAGTATTTTGAAAAGTTAACTGGGTTTGGGTCAGAATGTTAACTGATGTGAAGGCCTGGAATTGATCTTTTTGAAAAAAAGTTGAATATTTAAAAGAAAGTGAGGCATCTAAAATTTTCAGATAATTACTGTAACTGAATGCAGCAGTCTTTAGTCAACTGGTCCACCAAGACAAATGAATTAATAAATTTTAGCTGGATAATATGAGTTGGCTCAATTGGGACAAACATTTTGTCGTCTTTTGTTATGCTAAGTGGCCTTTGAGACAAATAGTTTTGGTACATAAGGTAGAGCTCAGTGGAGTCTCTGAAATATAAGACAGTTATTACTGATGATCTATTAAGCCATAGTGAATGCAACCTGATCCAAAGTATTTCTCAAAATTGTTTAATTTTAAGTCCTTTTTGGTGGTTTTAGAAGAATCTATAATTTTTTCTCTGTTACGTTGCAGGTTTTCTGTTTTTTTAGTCACTCTCGTAGTGAAGACAGAGACTGGTAATTGTCTCTTGAAAAAATTGTTAAAATTACCAGAAAATTTTTTTTTTTTTTTTTTACAATGTGGATGGTATGCTTATATGATTTGTTTTGTTCTGTTTCAGCAATAGGACAGTTAAAGCTACGGCTTTTAGACTTTGCTGGGAACAAGATATCCACAATACCAACAGAGTTTAGACATATAGACACACTTGAAGTGCTCAAATTAGAAAATAACCCCCTCACAAAACCTCCTGCACATGTAAGTACTAGATAATATGGTAAAATTCTACAGGTGAAAATTATTGCCAGTTTCCAGTCAATGAATGTAAAAAAAATTAGCAGGAAAAAACTGCCAATATGCATGTGATACCTATCAGAACATTCTGTAGTATTGTTTTTTTGGCCAATTTTTTTCCATGATTTATTAATTTAATTTCTAACAGTTTATTGGAGAGAGTTCAGATTTCTTTTGCACACCTTAGGCTAAGATGAAGACATTTGACAGAAAAAAAGAAAAGAAGTTATGTTCATTACAAATTTTCAATTTTTCTTTTAGATTTGCACAAAAGGTAGAGTCCACATCATGAAATATCTCCAAATAGAAGCAATAAGGGAAGATAGAAAACGTGGAATATTAAATGAAACAGATAACCTGAGAAAAGAATACAGGAAGTCGACATCATGGCAGCCCGTGGAATAGTAAGTAACTCATAAAGGATGTTGTTGTCCATCTGTTTGTCCTTCAAATGACCAGTTAGTCACCTTTGGGTTTGAGTTAGTAGCTATAAAGGTAGCTGCCCATGTAAATTTTACAGAACTTCTTCCATACAATTAAAATGATTGTGTAATAGATATTCAGTCTGTCATTAGGTACCAACCCAAGGCAATTGGCCACCTTAAGAGGCAACAAGCTGAGAAAATAGTCAACGTTTTATTGAACACTACCCCACTTTTGAACCCTGATTGCCTGAAGGGCCAGTAGCTTTTAAGTTTTTTTGATACAGACTGGATGTTACGTGTGTGATTATACTATAATATTTTCCATTACAGTAGCAATGAATTCCAGTACCCGCCAGAATCCCCCAAAAGGCACACGTTTGCAGGGGCTGACTCTGGATACAGTACAACAGACAGCAGCGACAAGTCCCGGTGGTCGGGAGAGAGCATCGACAAAAGTCGGTGGTCACCCTCAGAGGTAAGGTGGATGTTGACCGTTGGTCAGTTAGCAAGTTGTACATCCAGCACAATTTATATTAACTTTCATATGGTCCAGCCCTTTCGTCACCCTGCTGGATATTTGTAACTGTTAAAGTGTGATCAGACATGGACTTGGCTCGGTTTAGGTCCTGAAACATGTTTCTTTGGGAGATGGGTCATCCTAATTTGTAATGCCTTTCTCAATAGGCTGTCTGCCATGTTTGAATACTGCGTAATGATTTTATTGTCAAGTGTCATTTAGACCTAAACCGTTTCAAGTTGCAGTCTGTGTCTGAATACACCTCTATCTGGGCACAGTTCACAGAAGAACTTACAAAATTGTTGGTCCTTTTTTAGTCAAGATAGAAAGACAGTAGTCAATTTACCTGAAAATACATGGTTTTTACTGTAGAAAAAGTGGGAAACAGTTTCAGATTCATAGCTACTTTGTCATGAAGAGGGTAAAGGCAAAATCACCTCAGTTTACGGTGTTAGAAGTACAACTTTTTGATGCCAAGTTTTTTAGTGACACTGTGCCCAGCATCATTTTTGTATCCTGCCAGACCTTCACAGCACCTTTGCACAATATGTGAGTAATTCTGTTCCGACTGCTCTGGTCACATAAGGAATAACTTAGGCGAGAACATACTGGATCATATAACATTAGAGCACCTATGTATTCTTAAAATCTGGTGGTGTGAACTGGGCTGATTTCAGTGTAAGCATTTTTTTTTTTTAACAGTTCATGTCAAATCCTTCTTCATCTTCTTTATGGGGTTTTGTCTTTATAATCAGATTGTTATAGTTGAGTATGGTCTTTTTGAAGTTGAGTACGTAGAACACCAAAAACATTGACAAAATTGCAGTATAAAAAATGCCTTTGACTCAGGGGACTAGGTTTGAATAAGATTTATCTCATCTTGCAGTTTGTCTTCTTTTTTATATTTATTAGTATAGACAGGAAAGTTAGGTGTGCATCTGTTTAAGAATTTTGGGTGTGATATCAAGTTGTAGTTAGGATTAATTTTATGTTATGTTTTTGGAAGTGGGTTTTTCAGAATTAATTAATATATTTATTTATAATTTTGTTTATTTGAAAAGTAATTAACTATTGAGATGCCATGAGAAGGTCAATTCAATCATTGAAAAGAAAAAAAAAACAATTGTATAATAAATGTGAATGACATAAATGCAACTGCTGCATGTCAACTTTGCTTTCTTGAAATGGCATTTGTAATGGTTGCTTATTTTACAAAACTTAACACTTATTTTATGCATATTATGTCATTTCTGACCAGAAATACAAGTGACTGAAAAATCAAACGGAGTGCAACTGATTTAAAGACAACAAGAATTTCTCCAAAACCAAAGTGTAGCAATTATTTGAAATTTGTTTGCATGAAAAAGTTATAAGTCTCTGCTTTTTGTTTATTAACCCTATAGAAGTATTCTGTTTTTCTCTTTGAATGGCTTTTGAAGCTTTTGTAAAGAAGCTTAATCTTTGATACTCTCGACATGCAACAAAATGTCTTGCAATATTTTCTGTCAGATCACCAATGGGCTAGATGAAGCCAGCAGTTTGGCTGTAAGAGTTGCTTCCATGAAAGAGCAGCGAAGTGAGAAAGTACGAGAATATCAGAGACGGTGGTCTCCTGATGTTAACAACCCAAGCCCTGTTGGGAAAGCAGTGGCGCCAAACCTGCAGCAGGTTACAAGCCCAGGGGAGGATTTTGTTCCACAGCCTGTCTTGTCAAATATGAATTTAGAAGATGAATTTACCAGGGTTGGTGTTTGAATTTTTTTTTTTTTTTTGCTGAAAGGCTATTAGAGCTGATGGATTTGTTTCCTGCTTCAGCACATGCTTTGTGAAGATACATATCTTTTTCTTTGTTAGCTTGTAACCACCTGTTTTGCACTGTAGTTGTCAGAAATTCACTGTTATATTCGAATCACATTTGTCAATCTAAATGCACAATTTTTTATGTCATACTTGCTTGTCTTCGTACCATCCTTTCCAAGTTTTTTTCCAACTGCTTTGAGGCAACCTTGTCTACCTGTTTGTACTCAGAGTAATGTGCTTTCTATGTCAAATTTCTTGTTTGATAACCTTATTTTATGTCTCAAAAGATAAAAGCAAAGAATGCCGCTTGCTTTCTTCTTTAACAGTTATGTAATTTGTTGATCAGGTTGATCTCAGAAGTTCTATTGAAACGAGTTCTGTTTTCTCTATTATTTTGACTGTTAAATTTATCATCTAACAGGAGCTAAATCGACAGCGGGCAGATTATGCTGCCAAAAAACGAGACGCTGAGCGTATTCGTAGAGAGCAGGAGGAAGAAGAGGAGCGAGAAGAGAGGCGGAGGGCAGCACTCCGGCTACAGGAAGAGCAGAAGGTGCTACTGGACAGACAGAGGGAGGAGGCTCGCAGGAAAGCAGAGCCAAGGTAAGCTGAAGTCTGATTTTAATACTTTCCTTTTTTAAAAACATAGGAGTGGAGGGGGGGGGTGCAAAGGTGACTATTTTGGAAATGAAATTGGTATTGAAGTGGAGGGATGCATTGTCCCCTTCGATCAAAACATATATATATATACATATATAATTATATTTGACCCTCATATCCTTTGATTATAAAAATAATATCATAACTTTAAAATCAATTTTTTAATACATTTTCATTGTTTTTTATTGCATGTCTTGATTTGAACTTGACCAACGCACTATCTTACCCAAGCATTCAGATGTGCTTTTGAATAAAGTATAAAGGAAGGGGTGGGGGATTGGACTCAATAAAAAAAAATCAGACCTTAATAAAACCTGATTGAGCCATGAAGTGTGCAAATATCTCTATCTTCTCCTAACGCTGCTCACACAGAGGCTGGAGGGCGGAGGTGGTAAGACCCCGGAGATTGACAGTTGATAACTGTTACCTTAGCAACAGGTGATTGCCACTGTTTGCTGGCGAAAGAGTCAGTTGTTGTGATCACATGTGATTTGTAAATGAAAAAGTTCTTGTAAACAAGGACAAAATCCTCAACAGAAATTTTTAAAAAGTTGTATTTGATGTTAGTAGCGTTTGTCAGCTATGATGTCTGGGATGTTTGTTGCTTTTTGTTGTGGTGAGGCTCTCACCAGGCTTGGGTAAACAGAGATGAATCTTCAAGGTTGTGTTGTGTTTATGCCCCCCCCTCCCTCCAAACCCCCCAACAGCACCCCTAAATAGGGCTGGATGCCATGGGTGCTTGCATTCAACAAATTTCTTTTCACAAGGTCCACCTTCATCTCTGTATACGTGGTCATGGTGAAACCTTTTTAACCAATGGCAATTTTTTTATTTTCTTTTTTAAATAAAGTTAAAATACTGAGCCGAGAACAGTGCTGCTTTAGTGCCTGTACCTTTATGGTCATTAGTAGTGGAGCTTTATGTTAGTTTTTTCACAAGCTGTAGATTTGTGATTGTACAGTAATGTGCTTTTGAAGGGGCTGGTGGTGGGGGCGGGGCTTTCTGGCCCCTGTATGATTCGGCCTCGCTTGTCATCGGTTTATTGCTAGACTGTCACTGTTTATGGTGTTACCTGGAAATTGTTCTGGAGTGATGCATGAAAACATTTTTTTTTCCACTTTTTGATTTTTTTTTCTTTGTCTTTGGAAAATAGTATTAAAAGTGGAAATTTGATATTTTGGTTGTTTGTGGTCCGGGAGGGGGGGGTATGGTTTATGACTTAAAAAAAAAAAAAAGTTGACACTCTCTTCAGGTTTGACATTTGGATATGAAAAACACATATTAGTTTGGTATTAATTGGAAAATTTGAAAAAAGAGAATGGAAAATTAAGAGTAATGTCTTTTCTGAGTCGTCATGAACCATTTTTAGGGATGTTGTTTGATGGATTTTATTTATTTATTTATTTATTTATTTATTTATTTATTTATTTATTTATTTATTTTGTGGCATCAGTATGATATAGCTTCATGCTGTTGCTTCATGGATGTTACCTGTTGTATTGTTAATGTTAAGATGTTGCTTTTGCTGTTGTTGTTTCTAGCTATGCTGCTGCTGTTGTTGTAAATACTGTAAATTACGAAGGAAAAGAGGAATCATCTAGTCCGCTCAAGTAAGATCAATTTAATAAAATACAAATAATTACTTATTTTGCCTTACTGGGCTGTAATAATATGGTGCTTTCATTGATTTCAAACATATTTCATTCAAAATATTTCTTTTTAAAAGAATTCAAACTATTTGAATAGTTATTTGAAATCTGAGAGTAATTGCTTTATTTGTGATATTGGCTTGCAAAATCAGGGTGTTGGTATCCCAGCTGTTAATGTTGACTGTTTCATTTATATACATGTGATAATGTTGAAAAGTTTTTGTCGAGGTGTGTATTGTAGCTGAATATCCTGGTGTTGAAATCTGCTTGTGCAGAGATGAAATACCGGATTGAAGTGGGCAGTTAATTTAAAAATTGATCAAGCATTAAGCTCATGTGGGCTTATAATTTCCCCCAAAAGCGTCATTTAATTAAAAATATATGTAAAAATGGTTCTAGTTTATCACTTAAAATTATCTTTTGGATAAAAAATGACTTAAATTTAAAGCTATTTGGTTAAATCTAAATCTTTTCATTTGAGTAAAAGATAGTCTGCGTTATGCTTTCATTGGTCTGAGTCATTACAACATTATACTTCTCATATCTTCAGTCACAGGTTACCAATGGAGAGTCCTGTCATGCCGGATGTCGCCTCCAGCACGCCACCAGCCGGGTACTTGGTGGAGGATAAACAACGCTTTCACAATAACAATAACAACTACAGAGGGCACGAAGTCGTCAATTCTTCCTTCCAAGATGTGAACTCCAGTCAAGAATCTCAAGACTATGCTAGGAATAAGTAAGTTTGTGCAGTGAAAGTTAAAGACACACAAATAGTGTTATGGACTTTAATAGAGTATAAAAAAAGGACCTTCCAGAAATGCACTGCAGAAAATGTGTGAGTATTATTATATCAGCTGGAGGTCTAATAAACCTCATAATTTGTATACTTATCCATGTTCTGGTCATTTCCTTTCAGCGGTGTGACGGAATCTCCTGGTAGTCCTACGTCACCTGGACCAAGTTACACTTACCAGCCTCCAGTGATAAATCACAGTGGAACAGCAGTAAGTCCATTTAAACCAACATATACTTTTCAATCTGGCTGATTGCCCCATCTAATCCCCATCTCCCCCCCCCCCTTCCTGCAGAATAACAGTCAGGTGCAATTCAACACTGCCATATTTTCACTGCGACCTAGCTGACAGTCATTTCCTCCTGGTCCGTTCCTTATGAAAGCAACCCAGGTACTATTTCAGACTGTACCAGTTCAGCACAACATGCCACATCACTGATCTTGACCAATCATGATTAAAGGATTTGGAATTCTCGAGACTTGTTCATGTACTGATCTTCCTATGAGCAGTTACTTCCTCAAGCATCCAGTAAACATAGACAGTCAAATATTTGAGAGTATAACTTGATGGACTGCCATATAGTCATCAGTCAACCCGTGACTGGTGGACTGCTAAGGCTCAAAACAACTTAAGTCATTCACAGCTGCCTCAACCTGAGATGGTATTTCATAGTTTTTTCTGTACATAAAAGATAAGGTTAATTTTACATTCAGGGACGGCCATTAGATATTTTACCAGCAGGGATCCAGAAATATTTCATGTAACTAAGAAATACTAATATATGTCATATAGGCCTTTTTTGTGTAGTTTGCTGTTGGATTCTGTCTGCCAAACTATCTTTTTTCATATACTTCATGAAAATATTTATATTTTGTAAAATACTACAATTTACATAGCAAACTCATAACCAGCTTGTATGTTACAATGTTTCTGATTGGATGTCACTGGCTGACACAGCTGCCCTCTATTTCTTTGGATGGAAGTATGCAAATTGTTATGGAAATGATATGCAAATGTCTTACACTGTCTTGAACTTATACAACTTTTGTAATGAGGCATGTACATTGATGCAACTTTCTCTTTGTGAAAAAACTTTTTCTAAGTATTTTATATATTTATTTCTGTATCTATTTATTTATTTATTTCATTTTTCATTTGATTTACTGATTGATTTTTATTTATTTACTGTGTTTGTTACCAATTTGCTATAAACGCGAGCATACAGAATTCCTTTCAAAATGAAAAAAGTGCTTTTCCAACTTTAAAACCAACTAACAGTAATTTTGGTGCATGGGTAAATGCCTTGATTTTTGTTCTGCACCTTTGTTTCAAATCACTCAGAAGGAAGAATTTCACAAGCGTCGCGAAGCCTTGCTTCAGCAGCAGCGACATGAAGCACAAATGGTGCGTAGGCGTATGGAAGAAGAAAAACAGCGCATCAAAAAAATTCAGAAAGAGGCTGTGCATAATTTTGTGTATAGGGTAAGTTAGTTACATGCACTATCATTTTAGGGGATGAAAAAAATTGTGCTTAAAAATCTCTAGGGGGTCACTCGGTGTAATTTTCATTTATTTATTTATTTATTTACTGAATTTCAGAATTCAGTGTCTTTTAGTTTTTGGTATACTATGCATTTCACTTAAATTGTTTTAATTGTTGCATTTGTTTTGATTTAAATATATTATTCTCTTCTGTCAGATTCTTTTCCACCTTTGGGCTCACTCCAGAATAATACTGGAATGTAATATTAATCATATCATATTTTACAGTTCTCCAAAATAAAAGAAAAGAAACCAAGAATGTAATTTTTGTACTCATTCTTCGGCCAATTAAAAACGTTTAACATTTGGCTAGATATATTCTGATAGAATGAGCCCAGCTTTTTTTCTTCCCACCTTCACTCAATTTTGCTTGTCACTAACAGCATCCACAACTATTGCTTTATCAGAAACCCTTGCTTATTGAAAGGTTCCTCCTATTGCCTGAGCATGGTTTTCCAGATACACGTGCTTTGTTATTGTATACTTTTATCATTCACTTGAGTTGTAGTATTTTTGTAGCAGTTTTGTTATTGCTGCATTGCATATATTTTTTTGTCATATTTCTAAGTTGAATTTTCCAGTAGTTCTGCAAGGTTCCTTGTGTTATGAAAACAAGTAATATTTCATGATCTAGACTATTTTGTCTCAGTTGTGTGGGGTAGGTCGTGTTCACATCAGGGCTTAGATCAGATATAAAAGACTAATTGCCTTCATCAGATGACATCTTGAAGAACAGTCTGGTGTAGAAACCCCTGCCGTGATAGTCTTTGGGTAGCAAACATACAATAAAAGCACCATATAGAGAGAAATAAAGCAAGATTTGTAGATTTTGTATGCGAGAAATTAACAATCTTTGCCTAGCTCTGTGTTGGCTCTTTGTGTGTGATGTAGTTTGCATATGAGTCACAAGATAAAACAAATTGCAGTGCACTTAAATGAGAAAATAGGACCTATATTATTAAAGAAAATGTTGAAACAATTCTTATGTAGGTTGGCAGAAGCAATTATTTAGACTTAAATATAAACATTGAATTGATAACTTTAATTTAAATCGAATATATAATTTTAATTGCATTGGGTGTTTAATAGAAAATAATTTTACACTTATTTTTCTTCGTTCAAAATTACATGTGGCAAATATCTGTCAATATGTGGGAAAAACTGTTAAGTTATAATCATTTCCTTCCAATTTTACAGAGAACATCCACAGGGTCAAAGTCAGCAGACGAGAGCCTAGATGTCTCCACCTGCAGCCAAGATGGTACTGCTTCCACACCCACTACTAGTATTACTCCTACTACCAACAATAGTTCTTCCCTTAGTGGTGCTGGCAACTTTAACCTCTACCCCAGAAGTGGTACGGGGCCTGCTTTTATTGTTCTAACCTTAGAAATAAAGAAATGGGGGTAGAGCTATAAGCTTTAAAAAGCATTTGTGCTATACACAAAAAATCAGTGCCCAGTGAAAATTTACTCAATTTTACAACATATGAGAGTAATAGCCTTTTGCAGCTGGATTACTAGTGTGGACTTCTTTTGTTTACTGAGGAGCAAGCTTTTCATTAAACAAAAGAAGACGTCTAGTCATTTAGCTACTAAAGGCCTGTTGTTTCAAAGATGATGTCTCATTTAAGTTGGAGACTAAGAATTTTTCGTTTTTGAAAATGTCTTATTTGGATGATTATCCGTCTTGAGAAAGTTTCAGCTATACCCCTAATATTTCAGAGTAGTACATGTTACATCATTTGTTATTAAGTGCATGAAAATTTTTTAGTACAGAAAGAGAGCATCAAATCGTGCTAATTCATTAGAAGATTACTAATATCCTCTTAACTACCTTTATCCAGTTTATTTTTCAAATTCATTTCTTGTAAACTCAGTTGTCATGTAGATAATGTGAACTCGACTTTGTGCATGTTTTCATGAAGGATTAAAAACTTAGATATTTGTTTAGAATCCTACATTTAAGACCCTTGCATTTTGAATTTTATGAAAAATTTTCCCGCACTGGATTATGAAAAAAAAAGGAGAATGCTTGGATGTTAAACCTTTCACTAATGTCTCTTATAGCAGGTAGTCCCTCTTTTTGTTGGTTTAGGTGTTTAAAGAGTCATTGTCCATAGAGAAAAAATGTTTTGTGTGAATCTGTAAATGTTAACTGTCATGGTCATCAGAAGGTGGAGGCCGAATTTTGACTCATAGAAGCTGTCTTGTTTCCTAGATTTGAATGTTGTCAAACTAACATGGAACTGCCAACCCCATACCAACAAAATGTATTCAATATATTTTAGTAGTTGAGATTTTATTCTGTTGTTCATCATGATATTTGTATCAGTTGTTCTGTCCATTTTGAGTGCTGTACTGTTGACAACCTTGGTAACTGCTTAAATTTTGTTTGAAATTTCCTGTAAGTTTTTTTTAAATCTAAAACTGATGACTTTCATAAATGCGTATGTGAAAAGCTGTTTTTCATTCTTATCTGGATCACAGTGTGGGTTCATAGGTAACCACTAGAGGGCAGTACTCCTACAGAGACCAAGACAAGCCAAACCAACCATGAAAATCTTTTTAGCTAAGATTCTTAGAACTTGACAAAAATTAAATTAGATTATTTCTTCAAACACCACAAAACACAAGACATGCATCTCAGTGCCACTTAGATGAAACTATTCAGACATTGAGATCTAAGGATTTCATCTAAGAGAGAGTAGTATCATAAAAGTCCCATTTTTCATCCAGTTGAAACACTTCACAAGTGCAGATGTATTACATGCTCCTTTCAAAACCGAGTTACATATAGGTGGCTTGCAGTTTCTTGGTTTCCTGTAATCGAGTATCCAAATCTGCCATGAATTTCACGCTCGGTCTGTTTCTTCTCAGCTTACTCACCCGGTGCTAGTCACACTCACCACAACGAGGAGGAGGGCGACATCTATTCCAGCCTCAACCCCAACTTCACGGTACGGAGACACATGGAGAGAGTGAGGGAAGAAATACAGCAGATGGACAACCTAAGAAAGGTGAGACTAGTTTGTGAATGATGGCCTGGGGCTCATTCTAACCTGATATATCTTGTGCCTAAATGTCTAGGTGATTTAAACCAAATGCAATGATTCTAGCCAAAAGTGAAATTTATATGTTCAACTAAATCAAGGAGGAATTTGTTTTTGGTAAAATTGTATAGAACATTAGATTCCCCACTTTCATAAATGACATCGGTCTGCGTAGATCTATCCACCTCTGTGGGGACTCTCACTGAGTACAATCAGCTTAACTGAATGGTATGCCACCTCCTGGAATTGAGTAGAATACAGAAAACCTGGTGATTAAAGGAGTATTCAGTTAAGCTGATTGCACTTAGTCATGGTCTTCATAGTTGGATGCATCTATGTAGACAGCTGGTGTCTGCGGGAATGGGGTGTTAGTCTTGTTGAGTGCTGCGTGATATTTGCTACATTCCCATATGAATATGTATATATATTTATGTTTCTATGGCAACAGAACATAGAATGCAGATTAAAAGTGACCTTGCCAGACGACCTCTCAGGAGCCCTCAAGGATGGCGTCGTACTGTGCCATCTAGCCAACCACGTGCGGCCGCGCTCTGTGCTCAGCATACATGTGCCCTCACCTGCAGTGGTAGGGTGGAAACTACTTGTTTTTGCATATAGTCTCCTGCATTCTCTCTCTCTNAAACGTGGTCCATGTCAAAACTTTCATCTTCTTCTTCATGGGGTTTTGTCTTTATAATCAGATTGTTACAGTTGAGTATGGTCTTTTTGAAGTTGAGTATGTAGAACACCAAAAACATTGACAAGATTGCAGTATAAGAAATGCCTTTGACTCAGGGGTCAGACTATATAGGTTTGAATAAGATTAATCTCATCTTGCAGTTTGTCTTCTTTTTTATATTTATTAGTATAGACAGGAAAGTTAGGTGTGCATCTGTTTAAGAATTTTGGGTGTGATATTAAGTTGTAGTTAGGATTAATTTTATGTTATGTTTTTGGAAGTGGGTTTTTCAGAATTCATTAATATATTTATTTATAATTTTGTTTATTTGAAAAGTAATTAACTATTGAGATGCCATGAGAAGGTCAATTCAGTCATTGAAAAAAAAATTGTATAATAAATGTGAATGACATAAATGCAACTGCTGCATGTCAACTTTGCTTTCTTGAAATGGCATATGTAATGGTTGCTTATATTACACATCTTGACACTTATTTTATGCATATTATGTCATTTCTGACCAGAAATACAAGTGACCGAAAAATCAAATGGAGTGCGACTGAGTTAAAGACAACAAGAATTTCTCTAAAACCAAAGTGTAGCAATTATTTGAAATTTGTTTGCATGAAGAAGTTTTAAGTCTCTGCTTTTTGTTTATTAACCCTAAAGAAGTATTCTGTTCTTCTCTTTGAATGGCTTTTAAAGCTTTCGTAAAGAAGCTTATTCTTTGATACTCTCGACATGCAACAAAATGTCTTGCAACATTTTCTATCAGATCACCAATGGGCTAGATGAAGCCAGCAGTTTGGCTGTAAGAGTTGCTTCCATGAAAGAGCAGCGAAGTGAGAAAGTACGAGAATATCAGAGACGGTGGTCTCCTGATGTTAACAACCCAAGCCCTGTTGGGAAAGCAGTGGCGCCAACCCTGCAGCAGGTTACGAGCCAAGGGGAGGATTTTGTTCCGCAGCCTGTCTTGTCAAATATGAATTTAGAAGATGAATTTACCAGGGTTGGTGTTTGATTTTTTTTTTTTTTTTTTTTTTTTTTTTTTTTTGCTGAAAGGCTATCAGAGCTGATGGATTCCTTTCCTGCTTCAGCACATGCTTTGTGAAGATACATATCTTTTTCTTTATTAGCTTGTAACCACCTGTTTTGCACTGTAGTTGTCAGAAATTCACTGTTATATTCAAACCACATTTGTCATCTAAATGCACAATTTTTTTTGTCTTCATACCTTCCTTTCCAAGTTTTGAGCAACTGCTTTGAAACAACCTTGTTTATCTGTTTGTACTCGATGTAATGTGCTTTTTACGTCAAATTTCTTGTTCGATAACCTTTTTTATGTCTCAAAAGAAAAAAATAATAATGCGGCTCGCTTTCTTCTTTTACAGTTATATAATTTGTTAGTCAATCAGGCTAATCTCAGAAGTTGCATTGAAACCATTTTTTTTTCTATTATTTTGATTGTCATTGTTAAATTTATCATCTACCAGGAGCTAAATCGACAGCGGGCAGATTATGCTGCCAAAAAACGAGATGCTGAGCGTATTCGTAGAGAGCAGGAGGAAGAAGAGGAGCGAGAAGAGAGGCGGAGGGCAGCACTCCGACTACAGGAAGAGCAGAAGGTGCTACTGGACAGACAGAGGGAGGAGGCTCGCAGGAAAGCAGAGCCAAGGTAAGCTGAAGTCTGATTTTAATACTTTCTTTTTTAAAAAAACATAGGAGGGGGGGGGGGGGGGCAAAGATGTTTGAACCTCATATCCTTTGATTATAAAAATAATGTCATATTTTAAAAATCCATTTTTTTATATTTTCATTGTTTTTTATTGCATGTCTTGATTTGAACTTAACTAATGCACTGTCTTACACAAGGATTCAGATGTGCTTTTGTATGAAGTATTAAGGAAGGGGTGGGGGATTGGACTAAAATCAGACCTTAGTAAAACCTGATTGAGCCATGAAGTGTGAAATTATCTCTATCTTCTCCTAACGCTGCTCACACAGAGGCTGGAGGGCGGAGGTGGTAAGACCCCGGAGATTGACAGTTGATAACTGTTACCTTAGCAACAGGTGATTGCCACTGTTTGCTGGTGAAAGAGTCAGTTGTTGTGATCACATGTGATTTGTAAATGAAAAAGTATTCAGGTTCTTGTAAACAAGGACAAAATCGTCAGCAGAAATAAAATAAAAAAGTTGTATTTGATGTTAGTGACATTTGTCTGCTTTGATGTCTGGGATGTTTGATGCTTTTTGTTGTAGTGAGGCTCTCACCAGGCTTGAATATAGAGAGATGAAAGTCTTTGAGATTTATCTAGATATTTGGGTGTTGTGTTTATGGGGGAGGCGCTGGGGGGGGGGCTTTCTGGCTCCTGTATGATCCGCCTTCACTTGTCATCGGTTTATTGCTAGACTGTCACTGTCTATGGTGTTTGTCTGGAAATTGTTCTGGAGTGATGCATGAAAACAATTTTTTTTCACTTTTTGATTTTTTTTCTTTGTAAAATAGTATTATAAGTGGAAATTTGATATTTTAGTTGTTTATGGTCGAGGAGGGGGGTATGGTTAATGACTAAAAAAATCACTCTTCAGGTTTGACATTTGGATGTAAAGAACACATATTAATTTGGTCTTAATTGGAAAATTTGACAAAAGAGATTGGAATGTTTAATCAAAATTAAGAGTAATGCCTTTTCTAAAAAGATCGTCATTAACCATTTTTAGGGATGTTGTTTGATGGAATTTATTTATTTATTTATTTTGTGGCATCAGTATGATATAGCTTCATGCTGTTGCTTCATGGATGTTACCTGTTGTATTGTTAATGTTAAGATGTTGCTTTTGCTGTTGTTGTTTCTAGCTATGCTGCTGCTGTTGTTGTAAATACTGTAAATTACGAAGGAAAAGAGGAATCATCTAGTCCGCTCAAGTAAGATCGATTTAATAAAATACAAATTATTACTTATTTTGCCTTACTGGGCTGTAATAATGTGGTGCTTTCATTGATTTCAAACATATTTCATTCTAAATATTTCTTTTTAAAAGAATTCAAACTATTTGAATATTTATTTGAAATCTGAGAGTAATTGCTTTATTTGTGATATTGGCTTGCAAAATCAGGGTGTTGGTATCCCAGCTGTTAATGTTGACTGTTTCATTTATATACATGTGATAATGTTGAAAAGTTTTTGTCGAGGTGTGTATTGTAGCTGAATATCCTGGTGTTGAAATCTGCTTGTGCAGAGATGAAATACCGGATTGAAGTGGGCAGTTAATTTAAAAATTGATCGAGAATTAAGCTCATGTGGGCTTATAATTTCCCCCAAAAGCGTCATTTAATAAAAAATATATGTAAAAATGGTTCTAGTATCACTTAAAATTATCTTTTGGATAAAAAATGACTTAAATTTAAAGCTATTTGGTTAAATCTAAATCTTTTCATTTGAGTAAAAGATGGTCTGCGTTATGCTTTCATTGGTCTGAGTCATTACAACATTATACTTCTCATATCTTCAGTCACAGGTTACCAATGGAGAGTCCTGTCACGCCGGATGTCGCCTCCAGCACGCCACCAGCCGGGTACTTAGTGGAGGATAAACAACGCTTTCACAATAACAATAACAACTACAGAGGGCACGAAGTCGTCAATTCTTCCTTCCAAGATGTGAACTCCAGTCAAGAATCTCAAGACTATGCTAGGAATAAGTAAGTTTGTGCAGTGAAAGTTAAAGACACACAAATAGTGTTATGGACCTTAATAGAGTATAAAAAAAGGACCTTCCAGAAATGCACTGCAGAAAATGTGTGAGTATTATTATATCAGCTGGAGGTCTAATAAACCTCATAATTTGTATACTTATCCATGTTCTGGTCATTTCCTTTCAGCGGTGTGACGGAATCTCCTGGTAGTCCTACGTCACCTGGACCAAGTTACACTTACCAGCCTCCAGTGATAAATCACAGTGGAACAGCGGTAAGTCCATTTAAACCAACATATANCCCCCCCCCCCCCCCCCCCCCCCCCCCCCCCCCCTTCCTGCAGAATAACAGTCAGGTGCAATTCAACACTGCCATATTTTCACTGCGACCTAGCTGACAGTCATTTCCTCCTGGTCCGTTCCTTATGAAAGCAACCCAGGTACTATTTCAGACTGTACCAGTTCAGCACAACATGCTACATCACTGATCTTGACCAATCATGATTAAAGGATTTGGAATTCTCAAGACTTGTTCATGTACTGATCTTGCTATGAGCAGTTACTTCCTCAAGCATCCAGTAAACATAGACAGTCAAATATTTGAGAGTATAATTTGATGGACTGCCATATAGTCATCAGTCTACCCCTGACTGATGGACTGCTAAGGCTCAAAACAACTTAAGTCATTCACAGCTGCCTAAACCTGAGATGGTATTTCATAGTTCTTTTCCGTACATAAAAGGTAAGGTTAATTTTACATTCAGGGACGGCCACTAGGTATTTTACCAGGGATCCAGAAATATTTCATGTAACTAAGAAATACTAATATGTGTCATATAGGCCTTTTTTGTGTAGTTTGCTGTTGAATTCTGTCTGCCAAACTATCTTTTTTCATATACTTCATGAAGATATTTATATTTTGTAAAATACTACAATTTACATAGCTAACTCATAATCGGCTTGTATTTGGCTATAAAATGTTACAATGTTTCTGATTGGATGTCACTGGCTGACACAGCTGCCCTCTATTTCTTTGGATGGAAGTATGCAAATTGTTATGGAAATGATATGCAAATGTCTTGCACTGTCTTGAACTTTGACAACTTTTGTAATGAGGCATGTACATTGATGCAACTTTCTCTTTGTGAAAAAAAAACTTTTTCTAAGTATTTTATATATTTATTTATTTCTGTATCTATTTTTTCTTCATTTTATTTACTGATTGATTTTTTATTTATTTACTGTGTTTGTTACCAATTTGCTATAAACGCGAGCATACAGAATTCCTTTCAAAATGAAAAAAGTGCTTTTCCAACTTTAAAACCAACTAACAGTAATTTTGGTGCATGGGTAATTGCCTTGATTTTTGTTCTGCACCTTTGTTTCAAATCACTCAGAAGGAAGAATTTCACAAGCGCCGCGAAGCCTTGCTTCAGCAGCAGCGACATGAAGCACAAATGGTGCGTAGGCGTATGGAAGAAGAAAAACAGCGCATCAAAAAAATTCAGAAAGAGGCTGTGCATAATTTTGTTTATAGGGTAAGTTAGTTATATGCACTATTATTTTAGGGGATAAAAAAAATTATTGCTTGAAAAACTCTAGGGGGTCACTCGGTGTAATTTTTATTTATTTATTTATTTATTTATTGAATTTCAGAGTTCAGTGTCTTTTAGTTTTATCAGCTACATTTTGGTAAATCTATGCATTTCACTTAAATTGTTTTAATTGTTGCATTTAGTTTTGATTTAAATATATTATTCTCTTCTGTCAGATTCTTCTCCATCTTTGGGCTCACTCCAGAATAATGTATATCTTACCCGAATTGTAATTTTTACCATATCAAATTCTACAGTTCTCAAAAAAAAAAAAAAAAGAAAAAAGAATGTAATTTTTGTACTCATTCTCTCATTCTTTGGCCAATTAAAAACCTTTATTATTTGGCTAGATATATTCTGATAGAATGAGCCCAGCTTTTTTTCTTCCCACCTTCACTCAAGTTTGCTTGTCACTAACAGCATCCACAACTATTGCTTTATCAGAAACCCTTGCTTATTGAAAGGTTCCTCCTATTGCTTGAGCATGGTTTTCCAGATACACGTGCTTTGTTATTGTATACTTTTATCATTCACTTAAGTTGTAGTATTTTTGTAGCAGTTTTATTATTGCTACATGGCATATATTTTTTGTCATATTTCTAAGTTGAATTTTCCAGTAGTTCTGCAAAGTTCCTTGTCTTATGAAAACAAGTAATATTTCATGATCTAGACTATTTTGTCTCAGTTGTGTGGGGTAGGTCGTGTTCACATCAGGGCTTAGATCAGATATAAAAGACTAATTGCCTTCATCAGATGACATCTTGAAGAACAGTCTGGTGTAGAAACCCCTGCCGTGATAGTCTTTGGGTAGCAAACATACAATACAAGCACCAGATAGAGAGAAATAAAGCAAGATTTGTAGATTTTGTATGCGAGAAATTAACAATCTTTGCCTAGCTCTGTGTTGGCTCTTTGTGTGTGATGTAGTTTGCATATGAGTCACAAGATAAAACAAATTGCAGTGCGCTTAAATGAGAAAATAGGACCTATATTATAAAAGAAAATGTTGAAACAATTCTTATGTAGGTTGGCAGAAGCAATTATTTAGACTTAAATATAAACATTGAATTGATAACTTTAATTTAAATCGAATATATTATTTTAATTGCATTGGTTGTTTAATAGAAAATAATTTTACACTTATTTTTCTTCGTTCAAAATTACATGTGGCAAATATCTGTCAATATGTGGGAAAAACTGTTAAGTTATAATCATTTCCTTCCAATTTTACAGAGAACATCCACAGGGTCAAAGTCAGCAGATGAGAGCCTAGATGTCTCCACCTGCAGCCAAGATGGTACTGCTTCCACACCCACTACTAGTATTACTCCTACTACCAACAATAGTTCTTCCCTTAGTGGTGCTGGCAACTTTAACCTCTACCCCAGAAGTGGTACGGGGCCTGCTTTTATTGTTCTAACCTTAGAAATAAAGAAATGGGGGTAGAGCTATAAGCTTTAAAAAGCATTTGTGCTATACACAAAAAATCAGTGCCCAGTGAAAATTTACTCAATTTTACAACATATAAGAGTAATAGCCTTTTGCAGCTGGATGACTAGATGTGGACTTCTTTTGTTTACTGAGGAGCAAGCTTTTCATTAAACAAAAGAAGACGTCTAGTCATTTAGCTACTAAAGGCCTGTTGTTTCAAAGATGATGTCTCATTTAAGGTGGAGACTAAGAATTTTTCGTTTTTGAAAATGTCTTATTTGGATGATTATCCGTCTTGAGAAAGTTTCAGCTATACCCCTAATATTTCAGAGTAGTACATGTTACATCATTTGTTATTTAGTGCATGAAAATGTTTTAGTACAGAAAGAGAGCATCAAATCGTGCTAATTCATTAGAAGATTACTAATATCCTCTTAACTACCTTTATCCAGTGTATTTTTCAAATTCATTTCTTGTAAACTGAGCTGTCATGTAGATAATGTGAACCCGACTTTGTGCATGTTTTCATGAAGGATTAAAAACTTAGATATTTGTTTAGAATCCTACATTTAAGACCCTTGCATTTTGAATTTTATGAAAAATTTTCCCGCACTGGATTATGAAAAAAAAAGGAGAATGCTTGGATGTTAAACCTTTCACTAATGTCTCTTTTAGCAGGTAGTCCCTCTTTTTGTTGGTTTAGGTGTTTAAAGAGTCACTGTCCATAGAAAAATTGTTTTGTGTGTATCTGTAAATGTTAACTGTCATGGTCATCAGAAGGTGGAGGCCGAAATTTGACTCATAATAGCTGTCTTGTTTCCTAGATTTGAAAGTTGTCGTACTAACATGGGACTGCCAACCCCATACCAACAAAATGTATTCAATATATTTTAGTAGTTAAGATTTTATTCTGTTGTTCATCATGATATTTGTATCAGTTGTTCTGCCCATTTTGAGTGCTGTACTGTTGACAACCTTGGTAACTGCTTAAATTTTGTTTGAAATTTCCTGTAAGTTTTTTTTTAATCGAAAACTGATGACTTTCATAAATGCGTATGTGGGTTCATAGGTAACCACTAGAGGGCAGTACTCCTACAGAGACCAAGACAAGCCAAACCAACCATGAAAATCTTTTTAGCTAAGATTCTTAGAACTTGACAAAAATTAAATTAGATTATTTCTTCAAACACCACAAAACACAAGACATGCATCTCAGTGCCACTTAGATGAAACTGTTCAGACATTGAGATCTAAGAATTTCATCTAAGAGAGAGTAGTATCATAAAAGTCCCATTTTTCATCCACTTGAAACACTTCACAAGTGCAGATGTATTACATGCTCCTTTCAAAACCGAGTTACATATAGGTGGCTTGCAGTTTCTTGGTTTCCTATAATCGAGTATCCAAATCTGCCATGAATTTCACGCTCGGTCTGTTTCTTCTCAGCTTACTCACCCGGTGCTAGTCACACTCACCACAACGAGGAGGAGGGCGACATCTATTCCAGCCTCAACCCCAACTTCACGGTACGGAGACACATGGAGAGAGTGAGGGAAGAAATACAGCAGATGGACAACCTAAGAAAGGTGAGACTAGTTTGTGAATGATGGCCTGGGGCTCATTCTAACCTGATATATCTTGTGCCTAAATGTCATTGTTCAACTAAATCAAGGAGGAATTTGTTTTTGGTAAAATTGTATAGAACATTAGATTCCCCACTTTCATAAATGACATCGGTCTGCGTAGATCTATCCGCCTCTGTGGGGACTCTCACTGAGTACAATCAGCTTAACTGAATGGTATGCCACCTCCTGGAATTGAGTAGAATACAGAAAACCTGGTGATTAAAGGAGTATTCAGTTAAGCTGATTGCACTTAGTCATGGTCTCCATAGTTGGATGCATCTATGTAGACAGCTGGTGTCTGCGGGAATGGGGTGTTAGTCTTGTTGAGTGCTGCGTGATATTTGCTACATTCCCATATGAATATGTATATATATTTATGTTTCTATGGCAACAGAACATAGAATGCAGATTAAAAGTGACCTTGCCAGACGACCTCTCAGGAGCCCTCAAGGATGGCGTCGTACTGTGCCATCTAGCCAACCACGTGCGGCCGCGCTCTGTGCTCAGCATACATGTGCCCTCACCTGCAGTGGTAGGGTGGAAACTACTTGTTTTTGCATATAGTCTCCTGCATTCTCTCTCTCTCTCTCTCTCTCTCCAAGTTATCAAATCTGTCATGAGTAAAAGAATCAAGGGCATTGTCAATAGTGAACAAGTGAAGCTCACAGTCAGACTCCTGTTTGTATATATGAATTTTTGTTTTGGCCTTGAAATGTAGCATAATGACATATAATGATATATTTTTGTTTGAGTAGATATATCATGCAGTTTCATCTTCTTCTTGCAGCCTAAACTTAGCTTGGCCAAATGTCGCAGGAATGTCGAAAACTTTCTGGAAGCTTGTCGGAAAATTGGCGTGTCACAGGTAGGTCACTATGTTGATCCCACTTGCTGCCACCAATGTAGCACATTTTGATAGTGACTTCAAGCTAGTGTCTTGCTGTTTTATTTCTTTCCCACATACTGTCCAGCTTGCAATGACCATCACCCAGTATTCCACTAAGTTGGAGTATGAACATTTCGAAAAATGTCAAATAGATGTCTTTCTCGTCCGACAAGTGATGCTGATTTTTTCAAAGAAAATACTCAAAACCCAAAAGTACTTATTGGGAGAATGTTGACAGCTTTCTTTAGGTTTGGCAGAAAATTGGTGTGGCAATTAGTGTTTTGATCCCACCACTGCCACCCATGTTTACTTTCCCTCATAAAATTATTTCTGTATGTCTCCTGATGTACCTCCACCTACCATTATCATATGTGCTGCATTGGTGACTGTTTCAATTATGTGCCTTTCAGTTACAAACTTAAGTTTATGTTGACCTGTCATCGATTTTCTTGGAAAAAATCAAGTAGTATTTGAAAAAGGACAGTTTTAACTCTTTTCTGGGCAAACATTTTTAGGGGCATTTCAAAATGTCATTTAAATCGAAGAGAAACAAAAATGTTATATTTCCATAATTGCAAAAAAAAAAAAAAAAAGAATTGAAAAGATACATGAAGATTTTTTATCTGTGCAACAAAAATATATATGAAGCTGGACCATAAAAGTTCATCTGACCTTTTGTCACAATTTTCCTTTGTCCACAAATTTTAGTTTGTTGACATCTTTGTAATTAATTTTCATAATCATATATCATATTCTGTGGCATTGTGATCTTAATCTGAATGTTTTCTGATTAAATATGCATTTGAGAATATTTGAGGTTGTTCTCCCTTCTTTTTAAATCTGCCTCCATTTCTGAAAAAGCTTCATAATATGACACAACTGAATCTTGAGTTTTCCAGTCACTGAGATTTTTTTAAACAAAAAAAAAAAAATAAATAATTATATAAATAAACTATTTAGAAAAAAATAATTGGTGTGCTATGAAATGAGTAGATCAAATACTTACTGTATGGCCTATATTTGAAATCCTTTTGTGTTTTTGAAGAAGGCATCTAAGTCTGTGTTGGTTTACCAGATGTAAAAACTATATCACATTTGAATAATTTTAAAGTCATATTAGGTACTGGAGAATTTCATGACTTAATTGTAAGATTTTCAGATTCTGAAAAGGATGGGATGCCTTCTTTTTTGATTGATATTTTTTCCTCTTGTTTATAAATTTGTTGTTTTTGTCTGTGTTTTGTGATGTTGTGAGGATGTGAACCAGCAATATGTTTGTTTGTTTGTGGTTGTAGTAGTAGTAGTAGTAGTAGTAGTAATAGTAGTAGTTGCTGAAAGAACATTGGGGATGGTTAGGCTTTTCAGTATAGACAACATTGGGCATGTGTATGAAAAAAAAAGAAGAAAGTTATATTTCCTGGTCCATTTCTGGCAATAATTTACCACCTTCAATGCAAAGTTTGATTGGGTAGATTGATCCGAAAATCTATTTTTATATTTATTATTTATTTATACTTCGTTGTTTTTATTGAATTATGAAGACTGACCAGAGAGTTTTCTTTATCCTGTTCACTATTATGACACTGACCTCACCCCAGTTACACTAAAATTACCACTGTTATACTAAACTTGCCACTGTGAAACTAAACTCACCACCATTACAATTCACTTACTATCATTACACTTCACTTAACTTCACATTACTTGTTACTGTTACACTAAACTCACCCAAATAACTCCATCAAATATTCCACACCAGTGTCACTTTAGGCTCTCCAAGCTTGAGAATGTACAGCATGATTTTGTATGTAAACATAAGGCAGTAACGATCATTTCTTCCCCAAAAAGATCTCATAATTATACTGTTTTATGTAAGTGGTCATAAAGTGAAGGCAGGGGATAATTACAAAAAAAAAAATGCATAACAATTTTGAATTGGCATTAGAGCATGGAGTCACTTGAAGTTTCTACCAATTTTCAAGAATCTTCATCTGTTTTGCATCTCCTTGTGTTAGCTCCTGGCATGCCAGTATGTTTTAAATTCTGGATGAATATATCTCATTTAATTCAATTCTTATGGGAATTTCTCCACTTGTCACTAGCATGTTGTGGATTCCCCACCTGTAGGTGTCACTAGTGATTTGTCCATGTTTCAGTAGATGGCACTGCTGTAGTGACATCTATATTTTAGTCATTTTTGCATTGGGAATTTCCATCCCTAGATGTCGCTGTGAATTTTGNGTAGATGTCTTTATTGTTTGACAAGTATTGCTGATTTTTCAAAGAAAATACTCAAAACCCAAAAGTACTTATTGGGAGAATGTTGACAGCTTTTTTTAGGTTTGGAAGAAAATTAGTGTGGCAATTAGTGTTTTGATCCCACCACTGCCACCGATGTTTACTTTCCCTCATAAAATTATGTATATCTGTCCCCTGATGTACCTCCACCTACCATTATCATATGTGCTGCACTGGTGACTGTTTCAATTATGTGCCTTTCAGTTACAAACTTATGTTGACCTGTCATTGATTTCCTTGGAAAAAATCAAGTAGTATTTTAAAAAGGACAGTTTTAATTCTTTTCTGGGCAAACATTTTTAGGGGCATTTCGAAATGTCATTTAAATCAAAGCGAAACAAAAATCTTATGCTTCCATAATTGAAAAAAAAAAGTATTGAAAAGATACATGTACATTTTTTATCTGTTCAACAAAAATATATATGGACTTTGACCATAACAGCTCATCTCACCTTTTATCACAATTTTCCTTTGTCCACAAATATTAATTTGTTGACATCTTTTTAATTAATTTTCATAATCATATATCATTTTCTGTGGCATTGTGATCCTTACCTGAATGTTTTCTGATTAAATATGCATTTGAGAATATTTGAGGTTGTTCTCCCTTCTTTTTAAATCTGCCTCCATTTCTAAAAAAGCTTCATAATAAGATACAACTGAATCTTAAGTTTTCCAGTAACTAAGATTTAAAAAAATAATAATAATAAATAAATAATTATATAAATAAACTATTTAGAAAAAAATAATTGGTATGCTTTGAAATGAGTAGATCAAAGACTTCCTGTATAGACTATATTTGAAATCCTTCTGTGTTGTTTGTGAAGAAGGCATCTTAGACTGTGTTGGTTTACCAGATGTAAAAACTATATCACAAAGTTATATTAGGTACTGGAGGATTTCATGACCTAATTGTAAGATTTTCAGATTCTGAAAAGGATGGGATGCCTTCTTTTTTGATTGATATTTTTTCCTCTTGTTTATAAATTTGTTGTTTTTGTCTGTGTTTTGTGATGTTGTGAGGATGTGAACCAGCAATATGTTGTTTGTTTGTGGTTGTAGTAGTAGTAGTAGTAGTAGTAGTAGTAGCAGTTGCTGAAAGAGCATTGGGGATGGTTAGGCTTCTCAGTATAGACAACTTTGGGCATGTGTATAGAAAAAAAAAGAAAGTTAAATGTCCTGGTCCATTTCTGGCAATAATTTACCACCTCCAATGCAAAGTTTGATTGGGTGGATTGATCCGAAAATTTATTTTTATATTTATTATTTATTTATACTTCATTGTTTTTATTGAATTATGAAGACTTACCAGAGAGTTTTCTTAATCCTGTTCACTATTGTGACACTGACCTCACCCCAGTTACACTAAAATTACCACTGTTATACTAAACTTGCCACTGTGAAACTAAACTCACCACCCCTACACTTCACTTACTATCATTACACTTCACTTACCTTCACATTACTTGTTACTGTTACACTAAACTCACCCAAATAACTCTGTTAAATATTCCATACCAGTGCCACACACTTAAGGCTCTCTAAGCTTGAGAATGTACAGCATGATTTTGTATGTAAACATAAGGCAGTAATGATCATTTCTCCCCCAAGAAGATCTCATAATTATACTGTTTTATGTAAGTGGTCATAAAGTGAAGGCAGGGGATAATTACAAAAAAAAATTGTATAACAATTTTGAATTGGCATTAGAGCATGGAGTCAGATTTTTTACCAATTTTCAAGAATCTTCATCTATTTTGCATCTCCTTGTGTAAGCTCCTGGCATGCCAGTGTGTCTCAAATTCTTGATGAATATATCACATTTAATTCACTTCTAATGGGAATTTCTGTATTTGTCATGAGCATGTTGTGAATTCCCCACCTGTAGGTGTCACTAGTGATTTGTCCATGTTTCAGTAGATGGCACTGCTGTAGTGACATCTATATTTTAGTCATTTTTGCATTGGGAATTTCCATCCCTAGATGTCGCTGTGAATTTCGCTCCTGTAGGTGTCATTTGTGATTTGTCTAATTTTTCAGTAGGTGGCACTACTGTAGTGACATCTATATTTCAGTTATTTTTGCCTTAGGAATTTTCACCCACCATTGTCACTGTGAATTTCCCTCCTGTTATTGTCACTTGTGGTGTGTTTACTTTTCAATAGATGGCAACACTGTAGTGGCATTTCTGTTTAAGAGTCACCCTTGAATTTGTGAAATTTCATCCACAGATGTTAGTAGTTCATTGTCTTTTGTAGAAGATATCTTTACGTATTAAAGAGTCAACCTCCTACAAATAGTTGTGGCTGTTTATGTTATAAGTTTTGGCTGTTGTTTTATCCTTGTTGTTATGCACAGACATTATCTCAACTGAATCTTTAATGGATCTTGTATAACTTCTTTGGACTAAAAACTAACAGAACTAGAGGCTCACAACATTTTTATTCCCTTGATTACCACTACAATGATCATCCCCCTTTTTTCCGACTATATATATTTGCTTTTATTTTTTTATTCCAATCTAAAAGAAAGTGGGCTGGAATTTTCTTTAAATTTATCTGCATGTTAAAAGATCACCAAAAAGTGCATAGTTCCAAAGACAAAGTTATTCAGCCAACAAAGATATTTTTTTGTCTGTTGTTTTTCTATCCCCCCCCCCCCCCCCCCCCCATCCCTCCAGTCACATATGTGCACTTTGCCCAAATTTTGAATTGAGCTGAGTGTGTGGACCTTGCCACAGATAATGACACACATGTACCGTTAACCCGTTCCCACTGGTCATGGTTGCATGTCTACTTCTGGTAGCACCGAGAAAGCCATGTAGATGCATCAGCTAACTTTGAAAGCTGACCAGAAATGGCAGTGCAACTATGTAGACCAGAATGTAACATGCATGACATAGTTGGCACATGTGCAACATTATCTGTGGAAAGATCACCAAACCGACACACAGTAGAATATTTCAGCTTTCCATAGGGTCAAGGTCCTTCATAGGGTCAAGGTCCTCCATTGGGTCAGTTAGCCCCACTGAGCTAGGTCCACCATTAGTGTTAAGAAATCAGATTTAAATGGCTATATACAGGCGTATGAGTTTGACATGCTGTTTGTAGCTCTCATTTGCATTTTTGGCATAATTTAACAAAGATATTTACCTCACTTAAAGTGTCTGTTAAATGATCAGGTTAGTATACTGAGGATAATTTTCCATATATTCAGTTTGTTTAGAAAAAAAGTGGAATGTTTCTGTTATGACAGGATTAAGTAACCAAGCGAGCTCTCTTGGAAGTGTATTGTGTGCATTTACTTTGCAGGCACAGTAAGCATGATGTGTGTTCATGTAAGTCCTTGTATTCACACATTGTTCATATATTACATCATGCACTTTTCAATGCACATGCAAATGCACAGGTTTATATGATATGATCCTGAATGGCATGAGGGAAAACTTCATCTACATGCACCCTGGAAGAACTAAAATGTTTTGACAGTGGGTACAATGCAAATGAAGACCATGATGAAAAAACACAGAAATAAAGAAACATGCAATGTTACTATAAAATTTTACAATGAAATAGTACGGTAGCTTACAAATTTCTTATTATAACCTTGACAGTTCTCACAGTGGCCCTGATTTTGAGTTTTTGACTTAAATCTGTATGAAATTGTTGCACAGTTTTGTCACAGTAAATTTAATATTAATATTGGTATATTTCACTATATTTGCATTAAAACTTTCACGCAGGTATTTTCAAATTTATGTTGAAGCATTTTACACCAATTACAATTTATATCAAGTGCACTAGCAAAAGCCAATAAGGATTTAAAAAAAAAAAGGAATCTGTTCTATTTAGTTTAAAAAATGGATATATTTTAGTTCTTTATTTATACATACCAATGATTTGGATGAATAGGGGTAATCATTGAAAGCCAATAAGTCTGCATTTACCATGCTTTTTGGTTGTTGTTGTTGTTGTTGTTGTTCTTGTTTATTAAATGTTACTTTTTGGTATTAGCTTTACATTTTGTCTGTAAATTTTTCGTAGAACAAAAATTGTCTGCAGATTAATGTAATGGCTGCCATAACTACAACTTGGATTTCTGTCTCCCATTCTTTCAGGACGTCGTCTGCACACCAGATGATATCTTGGATGAAATACGCCCTCGTCGAGTCGTAAAAACTGTGCAACAATTACTCGACTTACCGCGAATAACGCTCAAAGATAAGATAATCTCCTGGATGTGCCTGGTTGTTTTCTTGGGGACCTGTCTTTTGCTTGGTTTTCACCCTTGGTTCATATAAATGTTATCTCTTTTGTGATTGGCTGTCTCTTTGTTTGCACATGCTTCATTATTTGTTTGCTGGCTTCTTATTGGTTGCCTTCTTTTGTGACCTAATTGTGAACTTGTAGTGTGGACTTGCCAGGCTCTTTTAATTAATTGCCAGCCCCTCTGCTAAAATGGCAGCGTTTAACTGCTTAAGTCTTTTTTTTTTTTTTTTTTACTCTCTCAAAAATAATAAAATGCTAACCAACTGCTACTTTCTGAAATACAGAAAGGATACCTGTATGTAGCAGTGAGTTCAAGGGATATGGTGAAAGAGACTTAATTTGGCTGAAGTGATACCTTAAAAGAGACCAGTGATGGCAACAGTATTAGAAAACAGACCCATAGGGTGCATCTGGCCTGATGAAGATTTTTGTACTGATATGTGTCCTCTTTTGCACGCTTACTTCTCCGCAGTGGCCCATTTGTGTCATGCCATGAGGCTTAAAAAGATTGTGTTCTTCATTCCTGTCTTGCTAGTTGAGTTGGACGGTTGGTCCGTTGTGATGTTAACATATCTGGTGTTTGCATTTTTTTTTCTGTGTAATTTTGTTGTTTACTTGTGTAGGAGGTTGACAACTGCTGAAGTTGAGGTTTATGATCAGAGAAAGATATCATATGATTCCAAAAAATGTTAGTCAAATATTATGCTGAAAATTATATTCCATATCCATGTTTTACAGAAAAATACAATTATCATTAATCCATATCTGAAGAATTTATTAAGAAAAGTATCATGGGCCTGTGATATTGTCCTTATTCTTGTTTGTTGTTTGTACATTATTATTACTATGGTTGAGAACTGCTGAAGAAATAGACAGGGAATTCCTTTTGTATTTGAAAAATACAGCTGCTTCTAGAGAAACTGATGCAGGTTTTTTACAAATGGAAGTTTATATTGAGAAAATGTAAGGCCAACAGTTCCTATGATGTTGGATTTGTGGCTGAAAGTTGAAACATGCTAAATGCAATATAAACACTGCCATTGATTTAGGCAGCTAAGAAATATGGGACGTCTATTTTGGGGGAATGAAGAAATGCTAGTCTTCTGTGGGTGATTATCTGTGTTCTTTCTGTGATATGACTTCTATGTTTGATATGCCAAAAACTCACTGCCCCTAGTCAATGATGACTGAAACATGTGGTCCTTTTGATGCTAAATGTGTATGGATATTGCAAAGATAGCACAGTCACTTTTCATGCAATAATAATATGTTGTAAGGAATAACAAGAAATCTTGAGTGTTGTGAAGTACAAGTAAAGTTGCATTCCATGCCCATTTTTATGGTAAAAAAAAGTGACCATTTCTTGTGTCAATCTTGTAGATAAATTTTTTATTGTGACTGGTCAAAAAATGCTGCAGTGGGACCATATATGTAACTTCTCCCATGACAATGTCAAGTACAACCATATAAGTTAATCTGTATTATACACACTTAAACTTAACAAGAGGCGTAAATGTAGCCATCTGGTCTTAAATGTTATTTAGTGTCCAGTGAAAAATGAAGGGCAACAATTTTAAGCCTGTGGCAGCAATATATATATATATATTGGAACTGTAAACTACTAAAGGAGACTTACTTTACTGAGCTAAGTAACATTGTGCTGCTGATTAAAAATCTTAAAAAGGGCATGTTTAGAAGAGTTCATTTGCTCAACTTTACAAAGGTGCATGGGGCTTGTACCCAAAATTACTGAAATGAGTGTAAGATTGTCTGGTATGGGCAAGCAATAGTTGGAGATGACAAAATAGTCATAACAATACTGTATTGCTTTTTTTTCTAATTTAGTTCTTTAAGCAACAGATCTTAGTTTAATGAAAGTATGTGAATGTTGTCTTGTGTGTATTTGTAATATTTGTGTGTGTTTGTCTTGTATTTTTTGTACTACTCCGTTAGTTTATGTTATTGTGTCACTAGAGCTTGCTTCATTTTTTAAAAAAGCATGTTTTTCTTCTTTTTTTACTTATTTTCATCCTCGTCTCCCCATGAAACAACAGGAACATCTGTGTTCAGCCAGTGACATTTTGGAGGAGAAGAACTTCTCAAGAATATCTTTGGCAGTGCAAGCACTGATCCAGGAATCCCCACAGACACAACAGTCAACTGTATGACAGGAAGTGGTGCAGTCGCCATGGCGACAAGGAAAGACTGTGATGCTGCTGATCTTGTTTTTAGATACAACCAAGCTAGTCAAGACACTTCTGTCGAGTTTAGGCAAAACTTTTTGTTTTCTTTCAGAAAAGTGATATTTATTTTTAATTTCACCTCTGATAATGATATTTATCATATGTGATCATCCTGCAAATTCTTAAAACAGCAAACTTGGTCGTCTTTTTTGTTACCTTTTCAATCTTTTGTATATGGTTTATTGGTATTGAAGTTTAATGCCATAAACTTGGAGGATGGTCTTGTGTCAGCTTTGGAAGTATCTTTTAAACACACACACACACACACATGACATAATATGCATTATTATAAAATCAAAATGTATTTAGATCATTGTAAGTATTTTCATTGCAAACTAAGGAATTCCGCATGAATTATCTCTGACAACAAACTTTTTATAATTATCAGTATTTATTGCTACATGTAAGTCCTTTGTTTTTTTACCATCCAAAATATGAAATATTTTATCTATGATGGAAAAATCATCCTCAAAGTAATGGGTTGGAGTTAAGGTCCTACTGACTACTAATTTTAAAAAATTGGTTGGAGATTTTTGTCAGTGGTTTCTAAGTCATTTCACAACTGCTTAATTCGCCAAAACAGTAATTAACTATTATATATCATCAAATTTGGCCAGAAAACCTTAAAACTACTTATATCATTATAAGATCTGAAAATCATACATGATTTTAGTACTTAAAAACACTTATATTAGCTGCTTGATCAATTCATTAATTCTGCTATTACCAGCATGAGTTGGCAATATGACTGTGGTGATTTATTTCTATCAGAATGAAACAAAATCCTGGTAGTTTTTATTCAAATATGGCGGTTTGAAATTGTCATCACCTTGTCTAAGATAATCTACAAAAAGATGGTTTTATGTTATAGTAAATACTTTATATATTTGAACAACACAGATGTATGATCTTCCAAAAAATATTTAAGAATATTGAATCAAAAATTTTGAGAAATTAGTTTGCTTTGCATCAGAAAATTGCATTGAGTGTCTGAATAGAGAAATTCTAGAAAGGTGGAATATTAGGAAAAGCAAAACATTTGACAATTTAAGATAAAAACCATTTGCAAAGCCAAGGTAAATACTAAGAAGAATTATATAATACCAAAAAATTCAGGTGGAATATATAGCCAAACCATATCTTCTTTGGTGCTAGTGAAAGGGGTTGGATTTCCAAATTCAGTGTGTATTAAAAATGAAATATATTTTTTCTACAATGGTAAGTGTGATACATATATTGTACTGACTTATACTGCAATGTATGTCAGGAAACAAAACATCCAGATGTGGAGTGGTTTCGCTTATGCACACCATGCATAAGTGAGCATGGCTCCCACACCTGGGTCTTTCATTAACGACATATGCGTGGGTAAAAGTCAGATACACCGCTCGTCAGCAAGGTGTATGGGACATCCATGGGTGCTTTGTATTCATTACATACACCTCGCTGACTCATGGTGGTTATATTACATATACAAAAATGTAAAATGTACTTAAATTATTGGCTTGGTTGGATTACACTGGTTTGATGGGTCTTTCATATCAGTAGTTATAAGTGTTTTAACCAACGACAAAATGTTCTTTTCAGTTTTACCTCAAGGGTAATATGTACTCAGGCTTTCATCCAAATCAATGATATTATGTCTGAGGCATTAAATATTTATAATAAGCCATAGAACAATGCATCCATGGGGTGGGTGAAGAGTTCAAATATATGGACGGGTGCAAAAATAACCCGTTTTGCCAGATACTTGATTATGAAATTTAAGAAATGCGTGGAAATATGGAAGTGTACTTTAAAATTTACTCAACATTGTAAAATTCTTCATTGTATTGTAACATTGTAATTATAGTACATCACTGTATTTATTTTAAAAGGTGAATTGGTTTCTGCGAAGTAGAAATGTACATTGGTATTTATTATGCAGCGGAAGTGTTTTATATTAAAGGCATACAGATTGTGTTTGGTGAGATTCAGTCGCAGCCAACACAATCTGGGGCTTTCTCCACATTCTAGCGATGTACAGTAATAAATTGCCTGTAAATATACATATTTCATCAATAAAAATAATCATGTAAGCAAGCATTTTCTCAGTTTTTTTTTTAATTGGGAGTTCAGTCTTTATTTTCTTAACTTGAAAGACTCTATACAAACTTTTCCATACTTCGTTCATGTAACGCATAAAACCTACTAAGTTACACTTGACCGCACGTTCCTTATTGTGCATGGCCTCCGTAGATTCTTTTGTGAGGCTGAAAGTTTTGGCAAATTTATGCAACCATTAGCCCGTAACAATGTCATACAAGACCTTAGCACCAAATTCCGAAGAGACACTGTTCGGTGGACTTGCGGTGATCGTAATAATGGGAGAACCTGTTGTAATGTTAGGCTCTTCAGACTTTTTAGGTCATCTTCCTCTTCACCCCCTCCCCCGTTTGGTGGTCTGTGGAGACATAACTAAGGGACCTTTCCCACAGATATTTGGATCGATCTATCTCCCTGGGGAGTCTCACTAAATTGCTGTCAACTTGACCGGCTTAAATATCTGTCACCAAAAGTATATAATGTACTTCATTTATCCCTTAAAGACAGTCTCAGCGCGTTAAACCCTTAAAATAGCACGAAAATGAATTTTCCTGGAAAACTCACCAATTTCCCCATAATGACCAAGGTATATCCTATCCAAAACCGTTCAGAAAATGAAGCTACCTAATACCGTTTTTAAGTTCCATTAAATAATAAAAGACGACTCGTCTTAAATACTCAGCTACCACCTCACAGTACGGCTTCAGAACGCGCAATTTCTCGCTAAGTCTCGCGGTTTACTATGAATGAAGTACTACGGCTGAGACCCGGATGTTACTATTTGGCGCCAAAACAGCAAACATGGCTCAGACGCGCGTCAAGTCTGAACAGGAGAGCGACAAAAGGGGGCGAAAGAAAATAGCCACTCCAGTTCGAAAGATACGAAAGAAAATTAGAGACAGACGAAGAAGCACTCAGACTGTGTATGTTGGGAGGGAGGTGGGGCGGTGGAGGACACTTAAAGCTGAGTTAGGACTCACATACGAGGCAATGGCGAAACTACTCCTCGACACGTGAGTATGCGCTTCACAGGTCTCAAGTGTGTCTGATTATCATATTATCCTGTTCACAATAAA